ATGTACACTTGGTAGACTTGGTAGACTCCGATATACATGTACACTTGGTAGACTTGGTAGACTCCGATATACATGTACACTTGGTAGACTTGGTAGACTCCGATATACATGTACACTTGGTAGACTTGGTAGACTCCGATATACATGTACACTTGGTAGACTTGGTAGACCCCGATATACATGTACACTTGGTAGACTTGGTAGACTCCGATATACATGTACACTTGGTAGACTTGGTAGACTCTGATATACATGTACACTTGGTAGACTTGGTAGACCCCGATATACATGTACACTTGGTAGATTTGGTAGACTCCGATATACATGTACACTTGGTAGACTTGGTAGACTCCGATATACATGTACACTTGGTAGACTTGGTAGACTCCGATATACATGTACACTTGGTAGACTTGGTAGACTCCGATATACATGTACACTTGGTAGACTTGGTAGACTCCGATATATATGTACACTTGGTAGACTTGGTAGACCCCGATATACATGTACACTTGGTAGACTTGGTAGACCCCGATATACATGTACACTTGGTAGACTTGGTAGACCCCGATATACATGTACACTTGGTAGACTTGGTAGACCCCGATATACATGTACACTTGGTAGACTTGGTAGACTCCGATATACATGTACACTTGGTAGACTTGGTAGACCCCGATATACATGTACACTTGGTAGACTTGGTAGACTCCGATATACATGTACACTTGGTAGACTTGGTAGACTCCGATATACATGTACACTTGGTAGACTTGGTAGACTCTGATATACATGTACACTTGGTAGACTTGGTAGACCCCGATATACATGTACACTTGGTAGACTTGGTAGACTCCGATATACATGTACACTTGGTAGACTTGGTAGACTCCGATATACATGTACACTTGGTAGACTTGGTAGACCCCGATATACATGTACACTTGGTAGACTTGGTAGACTCCGATATACATGTACACTTGGTAGACTTGGTAGACTCCGATATACATGTACACTTGGTAGACTTGGTAGACTCCGATATACATGTACACTTGGTAGACTTGGTAGACCCCGATATACATGTACACTTGGTAGACTTGGTAGACCCCGATATACATGTACACTTGGTAGACTTGGTAGACTCCGATATACATGTACACTTGGTAGACTTGGTAGACCCCGATATACATGTACACTTGGTAGACTTGGTAGACCCCGATATACATGTACACTTGGTAGACTTGGTAGACTCCGATATACATGTACACTTGGTAGACTTGGTAGACTCCGATATACATGTACACTTGGTAGACTTGGTAGACTCCGATATACATGTACACTTGGTAGACTTGGTAGACCCCGATATACATGTACACTTGGTAGACTTGGTAGACTCCGATATACATGTACACTTGGTAGACTTGGTAGACCCCGATATACATGTACACTTGGTAGACTTGGTAGACCCCGATATACATGTACACTTGGTAGACTTGGTAGACCCCGATATACATGTACACTTGGTAGACTTGGTAGACTCCGATATACATGTACACTTGGTAGACTTGGTAGACCCCGATATACATGTACACTTGGTAGACTTGGTAGACCCCGATATACATGTACACTTGGTAGACTTGGTAGACCCCGATATACATGTACACTTGGTAGACCCCGATATACATGTACACTTGGTAGACTTGGTAGACTCCGATATACATGTACACTTGGTAGATTTGGTAGACCCCGATATACATGTACACTTGGTAGACTTGGTAGACCCCGATATACATGTACACTTGGTAGACTTGGTAGACTTGGTAGACTCCGATATACATGTACACTTGGTAGACTTGGTAGACCCCGATATACATGTACACTTGGTAGACTTGGTAGACTCCGATATACATGTACACTTGGTAGACTTGGTAGACCCCGATATACATGTACACTTGGTAGATTTGGTAGACCCCGATATACATGTACACTTGGTAGACTTGGTAGACTCCGATATACAGGTACACTTGGTAGACTTGGTAGACTCCGATATACATGTACACTTGGTAGACTTGGTAGACTCCGATATACATGTACACTTGGTAGACTTGGTAGACTCCGATATACATGTACACTTGGTAGACTTGGTAGACCCCGATATACATGTACACTTGGTAGATTTGGTAGACTCCGATATACATGTACACTTGGTAGACTTGGTAGACTCCGATATACAGGTACACTTGGTAGACTTGGTAGACTCCGATATACATGTACACTTGGTAGACTTGGTAGACTCCGATATACATGTGCACTTGGTAGACTTGGTAGACTCCGATATACATGTACACTTGGTAGACTTGGTAGACTCCGATATACAGGTACACTTGGTAGACTTGGTAGACCCCGATATACATGTACACTTGGTAGACTTGGTAGACTCCGATATACATGTACATTTGGTAGACTTCGTAGACTCCGATATACATGTACACTTGGTAGACTTGGTAGACTCCGATATACATGTACCCTAGTAGAGTGAGTGAGTTTTGTTTAACGCCGCTTTTAGCAATATTCCAGCAATATCACGGAGATGGACACCAGAAATGGGCTTCAAACATTGTACCCATGTCAGGAATCGAACCTGTGTTTTCGGCGTGACGAGCCAACACTTTAACCTTACCGTTGGAGAAAGAACTGCTTTAATTCGTACAATGAACAATGAAATTAAGCGGAGGTTTCTTATGATTATGGAATGTTTATTGTCGCTTATATTTTAAAAACATTATTGCTACATTAAAGTTAACCTCAGACATGCTCGCCTTGTTTTTTACAAGATCGCTTGACAATGTTCTCTGATGCCAATCCTTGCTGAAACTTGAGTCCTACAAAGTAGCCGGAAGAGCTGAAAGTACCGTGGGAAGAAAAAACAACAGCTGAGTTAGTTTGGAGGGAAATGGTATCGCCTTCAGACATGTTAGATGTAATAACATGGACAAGCAGGCGGAACAACAGCCTGAAGACCAACCAGAAATAACATCGTATTTCAGTCTTGAGGATGATAATATCAACTACACACAATCACAAAGAAATAACATCTCCGGGCTGATATAACCTATATTGACCTATACAGCGTAGCATCTGGGGGGATAAAACCAAAATATAACAATAAAATGTATATGAAATGATATATCTCGACCTTTTCAATCTACACCAAGCAACATGATAGAGATGTAAGATCAATACAATATTGTTGAATCAGCGACGGACTGATCCATACGGAAACATGAACAGGATTTATACATGAAAGTTGTTGCAGGAGGAACAGTATATGCCCTTTTACAGCGGTCCTGTTCCTAAGTATGGATATTTCATTTTTTCGCCGCCGGAAGTATAGACAATTTACTTTTAAAGGTCAGTGAAGAAATGATATTGAATGACCAAATTTGTATCCCGCAGCAACGATTCAAAAGATGTTCATATTTTCCTAACCGAGGCTATATTGACAACTCGGGTAAATCGTATCTAAATTAATTTTTTAAATTTATTAAACCCAATTTTTTAGGCAAACCAGGGATTGATAATAAGCAACGTCTCACGCTGATGTGGTAAACTGACACGTGACCAACTCACGAGTCCACCTGATCAATTTAGTCACCCTGTACAACGTGCATAGCTTGCCCGGGACCCATTCTTACCCGATACCCGGTGGCGGTTGGTCGTTTGTGAAACTGGAGATGATGCAACTTCATAGGGAGCAGTCGGGTAGCCTAGTGGATAAAGCGTTCGCTCGTCACGCCAAACCGGGTTCGATTCCCGACATGGGTACAATGTGTGAAGCCCATTTCTGGTGTCCCCCGCCGTAATATTGATGGAATAAAACCATACTCACACACTCACACACACACGCACACACTCACTCCAACTTCAGAAGAACATGTAGCATTGTTCTAAGACATTTTGGACTTGATATGACCTCCACCTCCACCTGAACAGTCTTGGTTCTGGTTCTTGAAGCCCATGTGTCATTCGCATCAGACGTCTGGAAGAATGGGACTCCAAGATGAAACTCGTGTTCAGAGACATTGGATGTTATTCTTAACTTCCGTTTTGCTTCTTTTTTGTGTAGAGGGACGTCTGTCGCTGACATTGTAAACTTATCACTACAACATATTTGAAACTACATCTAGTGATAGTCTGTTTTGAGACATACTTCTCTCCCTATATTCACAGCCACCGTGCCCACCTGGAACCAGTCATTTGATACAGTTTGCTGGTTGTTATGTTGTTGTGATTACCCGTGACACTCATTACAATCAAACATCTCATCTGCTGACGTTGCCAGAGGTGAGGTGAGGTGAAATGGGATTTAACGTCGCGTCCAAAATTATTGCATATGTACAGCGACGTGCATGATCGTGCGTGTGTTGCTGCTTGTACTCGTCCGGACTAATCCCGATTTTATTGTGCCAGCCCAATGAGACACTATGCCGCAGTTTCACATGAATACCCTCAATCAGAGACAGTATACTGACTCCGAGCCGACCAGTCCTTGTTTTAGCCTCTTGATATCGAGCGCCAGACTGTATACCAACAAGATCCATCTTTTAACGTCTTTATGACGTGGATTCGAACCCCGGACATTCCGCTCTCTACCACTAGACCACGGAGGCAGTCTACAGTTGCCAGATGATTTCCGCTTGAAATTTCCTGTTAGGAATGTTTTAGGGGAGGCTAAGTCACCTAGTGGTCCACGTGTTCGCTCGTCACGCCGAAACCTGGTTCTATCTTCTACAGTGATATGCAAAATAAACTACATATTATCATAATAGAATAGAGATAAATTCCCTGAATAATCGAGGATGAGTGTATCATAACTCACCCATCACGTACTATTTGTTGCTTCTTTTCGTGTAGAGGGACGCATCTCGGTGGCATTCAAGACTTAATCGCCATCATACAGGTTGAAACTACAACTATTGATACAAGACAAACGAGAAGTAAATACTCCTCTCACTTTATTCATACAATCACTTGATACATCCTGCCTTGGGACAACCTCACTGAAAATTCAATCCAATAAAATAGGCCGGGGCGTCGAAAGTACCCTAAAACATAAAGGCAACTGAGTCATAGTATGGTCCAGTAATAAGATTGGTTTGTTTGCATGTTTGTTGTTTAACGCCACACTCAGCAATAGTCCATCTATATGACGGCGGTCTGTAAATACTCGAGTCTGGACCAGACCATCCAGACTGAGTCATTGACATCATGAGCATCGACCCACGCTATTTGGATACGATGACATGCATCAACCAAGTCAGCGAGCATCCGATCCCGTCAGTCGCCTCTTAACAACAAGCCTAGTCGCCTGCATGGGTTGTTGAAGACCTATTCTACCCCGGATCTTCACGGGTCTCCAGTAATAAGAGAATGATACATCAACAAAACAACATGAGAGAAATACAGTTCCAACTTTATACAGTGTACGTATCATTGAGTGAATGAGTATGGTTTTACGCCGCTTTTAGCAATATTCCAGCACTATCACGGCGGGGGACACCAGAAATCGGTTTCACACGTTGTACCCATTTCTGGAATCGAACACGGGTCTTCGCGTGACGAGCGAACGCTTTAACCCTTAGGCTACCCGACCGCCCCGTACGCATCATTAAGTCCCCAGTGTTTGATATCCCCATTCTGTTGTGATGTATGTGTCAGCACCATACCCGCGTTCATGGGTAGATTCTGCATCACTTCCGGCTTTCCTCCCACATCAAGCCGGCGCCGTGGTAATACTGAAATACTGTTCAAAGCGGCGTTAAACCCACATCACCCGTTCATTATTATGACATATATCCTGGACCTACTCGCAACGCTAGCTTCGTTCCGGAAGTGACGTCATAAGCTCCATCACGACTGTAACACACACATCTAATTTCTCTCAATCCTGGGGGTAATTGTACGGCTATTTTTAACGGCGTGTCTTTCGAATGTGGTTATTTAAACGCAGCTAAGTTATCGAATAGGTCCAGGGTATATATTCTACTAGAATGAAAATGTAATACACTGGATAATTGAGGATGGTAAATCTTACGTCCAAACGCGATGCTGTTACTGATGATTGATATGTCAAATTAAAATCTGCCAATTAAACCTTATGGCTTGACACACTCTAATTTAATGAGAGTAACGTATTTCCTTGGAATCTGTAAAAGGTCAAGGTCAAGTATGAAGTGACCCTTGACCTTCACTCACGACGGGTAAGTCAACTGGACAAAACATACTCACCTGTTTCGAGATAATATGCAATCATTCGTGGGTGTAAGCCTATATTACTCCAATTAATTTGGTTAGTACCCCGTGTCTTTTCATGCGAAAGGGTCGCGAATATGAATACCCTAAGTCTTATATGCTTTGAGCTTTCTTTGTGGAGCATCCAGAGGATTTGGGAGCGGTGGACATGACTCATTTATTGTCTGTAATAAATAGACATAATAAGTCAAGGACAATTAACAAACCTCTACTTCTGCTGTTTTGCAGACAGACGGGAGTGTGAATACATCCGGGTTCTTGATGCCCAGGGTTGAATTCGTGTAGGCTGTCGTCCGGAACACGGGCGCTGTAAGCCGAAGGTCAAAGTTCAGTCATCGCGATGTTTGGATGTTCAGTTACAACGTCACATCCGGTCGGGGGAATATCTTTAAAGACTTTCTGTAGCAGCTCACTTGGAACTGCCGAAGACTTCAGAATACCGAAAGGCCCGGAACCTCCAGCCAGGATCGGGCCTCGGGACACAAGTATTTTCCTCCCTCGCTGTCTACAGTTACATGACAGACCACACTAAGTATTGTAGCTCATAGGCTGGACTCTTGTTGCGAAAGAGCAGTCGTGAGGTTGCAGTAATCATTGTCATTAATGTTCACCGGAAGCATCCAGCCGAACACACTGATACTAAACGAACCATTAAAACAGGTCACTGTATCCTCCTGTGGTCTGATGCCACCTGGTGAAGCAGGCAGAGATAACGGAAGTCCTGTGTAGCTGTTCTAGTGGGAACACCCCCCAGGAACCGGTGGAGTTGCAACGGCAAGGTCAAGGCCGGATTCGGGAATATCGAAAGGAAGGCGTCAAAGTTCACTCATTAGTTTCCTGACATGTGTGCCTCTGTGTGTGTGTGTGTGTGTGTGTGTGTGTGTGTGTGTGTGTGTGTGTGTGTGTGTGTGTGCCTTTATATGTATGTATGTCTGTATCTGTGTCTGTGCGTTCGTTCGTGTGTCTGTAATGTTTTGAAGGAGCCATGAGTTGTGTTAGTGGTATCACACACGCGTTGTCATCACAGCCTTTTGCTTCAGTCGTAATGCTACCTAAAGGGCCTATCTATCCCGGTGCTAGGAATATATTTTCATATGTAGTTGAAGCAGTTTTGTCATAAATAAACCTCTGCAATCAAGGACCATCTTCCCGAGGCAAGTGAGTTAACTGACTATAAAAGTCCAGTTTCCACCCTTGCCGAACTAGGCTTGGATTATGGAGTTACATTTTGGCTGGACTAACGAGTCTATGCATAGTCCAATCAAAAGCGCGCACCGAAATCGAAATCCGGTTCGTAAAGTGTCATGCAGATTTCGGTCGACTGCAGCATTTGCAAAACATGTGCACCGCTAACTCGTTGTCAACGGATATTTTCTAAATCTGTTCATGTTTTTAATCAAGGTGCTCACGTGATTTGATGTACTTCGCGATGTAAGACTCGTTTTATCACAATATAGATCTTGATTATCCGTCAGATCGTCTTGACTGGGCGCCACCGTTTTGTTTGAAGCAAATGCAAGTGATACGAGAGGTTGAATCTGATTGGTAGGTAGGAGAGGCATAGAAAGGACATAACTCGCAAAAGCCACTGGTGGCGCTACGATCGAGCCCAGTAATTACAGCCTAGTTCGGCAAGGGTGGAAACTGGACATTTAAAGTCAGTTAACTCTCTTGCCTCGGGAAGATGTCAAGTACTGGATCACATCGGGACTGCATTTGTCCCTTTATTACGAGAAACATCAATAATGGAATCTTATACCTAAACAGATCACCTTTCTAAATATGGAAACTGAGCTTGTATAGGACGGCAGACAGCAAGATTAGAGTTATCCCAAGCGGTAAACCAGTGGTTGACAGCAAGAGCAACAATCTAATCACACATTCAGAGTAACCCTATCCCTATGAGTTGAAGTAAGTGAGTGAGTGCTGTTTTACGCCACAGACAGCAAGATGAGAGCCATATCCAGTGATTGACAGCATGAGCAAAGCTCCACGGTGGACACGCTCATACCACACATTTTACAGCCCTCTGATCCAGCTCATGTTAGTTGGGTCTTACATAGTCGGCGAGAAATATCAAGACGAAAACCAGTGGATGATAGCATGAGACCCGTTACGCATGAGATAGCATGATCCTCGCGTTAGTTGGGTCTTACAATAATCATGATGTACTGGGAACTATCCTACCCGGTGATTTCAACAGAATGTGTTTAGAGACTCACCTGTGTTGACAGTTCCAGTTTGCTGCATGAAGACGGGTAGTTTCGTGTAAGCCAACACTTGTACGTGGCAGTACAGGTCGCCTACAGCACCCTCAAACTCAAACATAAATAGTTTGTCAGTTGAAGTGACAAACCCATCCCACATCATGCCCCAGGTCGAATTGAAGTTCCCTGAAGAGGAAACCAATGACATCAATGATTTGCAAATGCTGACGTTCAATAATACTCATAAGGCTTGCATCACTTCGGGCTTTCCTCCCACCTCAATTTGACATCCTGTTATGAAACTGAAGACCCGTGAAGATCCGGGGTAGATCCGGGTCCTTCAGCAACCTATGCTTGTCATAAGAGGCGACTATGCTTGTCGTAAGAAGCGACTAACGGGATCGGGTGGTCAGGCTCGCAGACCCAATTGCGCTGATCAATGCTGATGATGCCAATCACTGGACTGTCTAGTCCAGACGCGGTTATTTACAGACCGCCATCATAGAGCTGGAATAATGCTGAGTGTGGCGTAAAACAACCAGAGAGAAATAACTGAAATACTGTTCAAAGCGGCGTTAATACTCACTCACTCATTCAACACGCTGTAAATATCCAGTTAGTCGATATTTGTTTGTATATAGCGTTTTTGTTTCTTCTCAATTTCAGATCGCAAGTTTCGTTTCTTTTAATCATAATTAAAACTCGATCGTGGAGTAGCCTTCCTCTATAGCAGAGAAAATATTCTAGCCGTCGCTCGCCATTGCAAGTAGTGTCATCAAAATACACAATCTAACCATTAGGTTGTCCTATAATTGTAGAATAACTAGCGAGCTTCGAGGTCATTACGCTTTATCCGCCCCGAGTAATGGAACAGTGTAAGACGCGAGATTTGGCGGTGGAATTAAATCATTGCTACACGAGGCACAGCCAACCAGTACCTCCGAGGAGGCTATTTTAAATATTACTTTTCTTATCTTTTCAAGCAAGAAAAAACACAATAAAATGCCAACGCAAAAGAGGGAACTGTTCAGATGACGTAATGTTTATCAATTTGTGACGTACAAAAACACAAATATAAATAGTCTGTCGGTTGTATCGAGAAACCCATCCCCAGTTCTCTGAAGAGGATTTGAGTGAGTGAGTGAGTGAGTGAGATGTGTTTAACGGCGATTTTAACAGTATTCAAGTCATATCACGGCGTGCCAGCTTAATGTGGGAGGAAAGCCCGAAGTGATGCAGGTCTTAGACGTTTACCACTTCGGTGAAACCCACGAGCACGGGTATGGTGCTGACAAACATAGAAACATAATCGAGGCGAACCGGGATTCGAACCCACAATCATAGGTTTCTGGCGTGCCCAAATGACGCAACTCTGCACAGCGAATTGCGGCGCCTCAGACGACTTGGCCCCCCGTGCCCCCCTCTGAAGAGGAAACGAATGGCATCAATGATTGGCAGGGGTGACGTAGCGTTGAACATTACCCCAGTAATATAACGGGTTGTCAGCTTGATGTGGAGGGAAAGCCCGTTGTGATGGAGGGCGTTTAACGCTTTCATGCACAATGGATGGCGTCATATCGTATTGTTCTCAACAAAGCACCGTGACGTCATACCTCATCAAGCGAGTCACCAGCATTGGGAAAGTGTAGTTGTACAAATATGGGGAAGTTATTACATTTCATCCTTCTTAAAATGTGGATAACATTAGTGGAAAATACATTAGAAAAAACATATGTTAGATGTACGACTATTCGGCTACCTATGGGGGAGACATTGAGATAGATGTACCACTATTCGGCTACCTACGGGGGCGATATTGAAATAGATGTACGACTATTCGGCTACCTACGGGGGAGACATTGAGACAGATGTACCACTATTCGGCTACCTACGGGGGCGACATTGAGATAGATGTACGACTATTCGGCTACCTACGGGGGAGACATTGAGATAGATGTACCACTATTCGGCTACCTACGGGGGAGACATTGAGATAGATGTACGGCTATTCGGCTACCTACGGGGAAGACATTGAGACAGATGTACCACTATTCGGCTACCTACGGTGGAGACATTGAGATAGATGTACAACTATTCGGCTACCTACGTGGGAGACATTGAGATAGATGTACCACTATTCGGCTACCTACGGGGGCGATATTGAGATAGATGTACGACTATTCGGCTACCTACGGGGGAGACATTGAGACAGATGTACCACTATTCGGCTACCTACGGGGGCGACATTGGGATAGATGTACGACTATTCGGCTACCTACGGGGGAGACATTGAGATAGATGTACCACTATTCGGCTACCTACGGTGGAGACATGGAGATAGATGTACGACTATTCGGCTACCTACGGGGGAGACAGGGAGACGGGAAGTCGTGGAGGAGTTGCTGTGCGCGGCACCGTCCCCCGTCCATGATGTAAACTCTTCTCTGAGGAAAACAAACACAGAAACACGTGAACATGGCTGACAGAGAAACTTCGCTCCTTGGTCTTTTGGTCATTTAAATACAAGTATGGAAGTCTTAGTGTCCTGAGTGAATGCTTCTATGTTGTAAGGTAAATCATTAAATGTTACATCAATATAATTATAAAAGTAGATTTAGCAAACGACACAAATTAAATTTGTCGGGGTAATCTATCCGTACCTACCTCTCTTTGTGAATATTTGCTATTTGAATTCTGCTTGATATAGAAACAACAAGTATCGATGTGAGTCAGGAGCGTACAGCTATCGATCAGTAACAACAAAACATTCAAAATATGCGTATCGGCTACAACTAGATTAATGGGAATACATCAGTTGAGTATGGAATACTGCAAGGGACATTCTCGCGATGTCGCATTCTCGCGATCTCGACCTTTAGAAACGAGCTAAATATGCCCAAAACACGAGAATGCGAGATCGCGAGAATGTCCCTTACAGTATTACATAGTTGAGTCTCTGCAGAACACTAACCAACACGTCACCGAATTTGAACACCCGATCCGCGTCTTTGGGCCGGGACTTTGGGACTGTGGCCCACTGTGTTGAAGAACGACTATATTTCTCAACGTTTTTCTTTCCTTATAGACAGCAAAATCTCTTCACTTGTACACAGCAGACGTGATTCAAAATTAACATACCGTTTATATTGGTTTCGACAAAATCAGAGGTCACTGGATTTTCTGGTTCATTGGACACTTGAATGACTGGGTTGTTTACAGGCTGACGTCGCGTGACACGAGGCAATAAATACTTACTTTTTTATGCAAATTGTATGAATGGCGGGTGCTGCCGGTAGGGCAGGACATGCTTACCCTTTTCGCGAACTCCTGGTGCCATCACTGATTTTCAGTAGCCCGTTCATATAATTTCCACATCTATTTGCCCTTTAGGCCAGGTGGAATCTGTTTCAGCAGTTTTTTTCTTGCATTTACAATTGATATTCTAGCAATAAAATGTTTGGAACTTATTATTGGTCGGGTCCTCACGGGGGAGTACTAATAATATTTGTTTGTTTGACGCAATATTCCAGCTATATGACGGCAGCCTGTAAATAATTGAGTCTGGACGAGATGTTTGAGTTACTGATATCATTAACAAAGATCAACGTTGTCAGGGTAACTTGACACAGATCGACCGTGCCCATCCATTAAGTCACCTCTCACGACCAGCAAAGGTTTCTGGGGACCAGTTCTAATTCGTTATCTTCATGGGTCAATATTGGTACCTGCTGATACAGGAACAGGAAGTCCTTCTTGAACAAACTGCCATTCCGTGACCCGGATGTAGAGGCAGCTATTCTGGTGTTGTTGGCATCAAAAGCGAACCGGGATGTACTCTGTCAGAATATAACGTTAATATGCATATGTTATGAGTTGATATAAATTTATCATGCGGTTACGTGGGCGCGATATCTCTTTTTGCAGTTTAAAAGAGATTAACTAATCATGGAATAGTACTATCAAAGCTTGTTCTAGGTACATCCTGTATAAAGAGTTTAAAAGTCTCCTTGAACCAGAAATATACCTTTCCATCATTGCTGAAATATCGAAATGTTACGATAAGGCTTAGAGCCGTGCTACTAAGACTTTAGAATGTGAATATTACAACGATATTAGACAACTGTACTTACCGACAACATTTTGCCATAATCCAAATATGCATAAAATTAAAATGCTGCTGTCATCCACATGTAAACAATTACTTGGAAAACTATGTAAATACCTGTATTACAGCTATGAAAGTAGACGTAATTATGAAAAGCCTGTAAATCTGTAAATTTGTACCTGACATTACCTTTTTTCATGTACCACACTATTTCAAATGTATGTATTGTATATAGGTCAGTGGCCTTAGTACAAATAAAAGACTTCTTTAATCTTCAGCTGATATGATATTTGAGAGATATTGACTATGATGTACCACGCTTCTAGAATGTTTTATTATTTTAAGGTACTTGAACATGTTTGTGTCTTTTGAGAAATTTATATGAACTATTTTCATCATTCTCTATTTGAACTTGTATCTGTATTACATTTACAATCTTTACAATCAAATTTGTATTACAGGAACCGAAAGCCTAATAGCTGCGAGATCATGGTTGTAGCAGGATGGTTGTGTTCAAACGAGCTATTTGCTAGTTGTTAGAATTTGACCATTCCGTTTCCCCTGCCATATTAGATAACGATACCAGTAGGAATTCTACAGGAGCTGCGGCCCTTTAATGTTTGACCTTGACCTTGACACTAGAAACCGGTTAACACCTGCTGGATCACAGACAGGTAGGTTTGAACGTAAACATGGAACAGGTTATAACAATACTAAATTATAAACATGCGTTTCTTGTGTTTTATTAAACGGCGTTTAACGAAAACAGCTATGAAGATAAACAAAACATTACAATACATATATAAATACTCTTCACCTGCGATATGCATCTAATTTCATACTGAGGACATTTGCTTGAAAATGTTAGGTTTCTAAGTTGTTATAAACCGTAGATGACCATATGACCCGCTCTGTAGGCAGCCAATACTAAACCACAATTGTCTCTCCAGAAAAATATATGTGTATATAAATTAGCTAGAGTGAGTGAGTGAGTTGGGTTTAACGCCGCTTTTAACAGTATCCCAGTTATATCACAGCGTGTCAGCTCAATGTGGGAGGAAAACCCGAAGTGATGCAGGTGTCAGATATTTACCACTTTACCACAGGGACTACTTATTTTAGTTCGTTATAACCGTAGTTCGTTATAAGCATATATACAGCATAACTACAGCAAATAGTCGGGACCCAAAAAATAATTTCATTATATCCGTCAGTTCGTTGTAAGCGTGTTCGTTATAACCGTAGTTTACTGTAACCCACTGGTTGTACGTTAAAGACTGGACATTCCCTCATCAATACGTCACGGATTTGTATACACAACATTCTTACATCGCCCATGAACACACAGGCTATATTCGGGTAGTACTTTCAGTCGAGCAATGAAATAGGCCGCGAATACATGTAAGCAACCCATGCTTGTCGTACGAGGCGACTAACGGGATCAGGTGGTCAGGCTGGCTGACTTGGTTGATGCTGTCATCGTATCCCAATTGCGTAGATCGATACTCATAATATCAACTACGGGATTGACTCGATTATTTGCAGACCAAACAAAACATGTAACTCACGGAAGCCCAACGTGCATGATCTCCGTGCAAACTCTACCGTTGCCTGTTATACGCTCTTCACACGCGACCCGCTAAAAAAATCAAAACGAGGCTCGGTATACACTTGCAAGAATGTCCTGGTATAGAAGCAATATGTAGAGTAAATGACCTCAAGTCACATGTTGCAAGAGAAATATCGCACTTTGAGTGATGCTGGAACCAGGCCAGGGCTTTATTCGTTGTTGACAAATAGCAACGACATCGCATAGCGGCCGTAAGTATTCCCAGGGGATGGCATCTTCCCGCGGCAAGAGAGTTAACTGACTATAAAAATCCAGTTTCCACCCTTGCCGAACTAGGCTAGTATTACGGAGTTACATTTTGGCTGGACTAACGAGTCTATGCATTGTCCAATCAAAATCGCGCACCGAAATCGAAATCCGGTTCGTTAACTGTCGTTCAGATTTCGGTCGATTGCAGGATTTGCAAATGATGTGCACCGCCAATTCGTTGTCAGCAAATATTTTCCACTTTTGTTCATGTTTTTAATCAAGGTGCTCATGTGATTTGATGCATTTCGCGATGTAAGACACGTTTTATCACAATATAGATATTGATTATCGATCAGATCGTCCTGACCGGGCGCCACCATTTTATGTGAAGCAAACGCAAGTGATACGAGAGATGGAATCTGATTGGTCCATAGGAGAGGCTTAGAAGGGACATAGCTGGTAATAGCCACTGGTGGCGCTACGATCGAGCCCAGTAATTCCAGCCTAGTTGAAGTATTGACGATGGTGTTCCTCTGATGTCGTCCACTGAAACTTGCTCACAATATAACACTGATATACATACATATCCGTGTCCACACTGTTTACTGTAACATCAACGTAGCAACATCTCACCTGGGTCACCGTCAACGTCCCTGCCTCCTCCGTCCCCGTGACGACAGCCTGGATTCCTTCCCACTGATTGGGGGCACATATATCTTCAGCGTGAACAACGAACGTCAATAACACGAGCACAACCGTGACTCCCAACATTGTCACTGTAATGTCAACAAGGGTTCTGCTATCTTATCAGGTAATCTGGCCTATGTCGGTGATTCACTGTCTCCGATTCTTTCTTTAAAATGGAAAACATTCCTTCATGGGTCGAAACTGTGAAGCTCAGTTTCTCGTTACCTGACGTTCGGATACGTGTTCGTGTTCTCCGGCTGAGGACTCGAGTTCGAACCCAGTATAGACATGTGGATAATGGTTGACGAATAATGATGACGCAGTTTCCTCAAATGGTGACAGTGAAACGGTCGCAAAACATTGGTTTATTAATACATCTCTTATTATACCCATGTAGGGATTCCAAACCGGACCTTCGGCGTGTCGAGAAAACCCTTATACCATTTGGCTGCCCACCCCCCTTGTGTTGAAGAACGAGCACTTGTCAATTTTGGAAAATTGGAAAATTGGAAATTATGGAAAGTTGTATCATATAGCCTTTAGAGTAATAAAGATTATTAGCTCGTTCATGTGAAATCTGTAAACAATCATCATATAAAAGCTATATTTCCCATTCGAATGGTCTGAGAGTTACCTAATGACAGGTTTATACCGGGACGTCACCTGCTGATACAGGGAGGCCATATTCATATAACCATCTAAATCCGTCACCTGCTGATACACGGACGCCATATTCATCTAACCATCTAAATCCGTCACCTGCTGATACAGGGACGCCATATTCATCTAACCATCTAAATCCGTCTCCCGTCTCCTGATGACGTCAAATTCATCTAACCATCTAAATCCGTCTTCGGTCTCCTGATGACGTCAAATTCATCTAACCATCATTCTAAATCCGTCACCTGCTGACGTCATATTCACCTGAGTATCTAAATCCGTCACCTGCTGACGTCATATTCACCTGAGTATCTAAATCCGTCACCTGCTGACGTCATATTCACCTGACTATTTAAATCCGTCTCCTGTTGACGTCAAATTCATCTAACCATCTAAATCCACCTGCTGATACAGGGATGTCATATTCATCTAACCATGAAGGAAATACCTCCATCACTCGTCTGTATCCCAGGAAAAAATATATAATGAACCAAACTCAGGTATCTTATGATTTGTCAAGTCTAGAACTGAAATTAAGAATTATTCTTGGCCCCATTTGGGTCATTTTTTTTCATTTTGTACAAATGTCCTTTTTGAAAAAATAAAACGTTATTTTTTGGACTACATGTTAGCCTAGTCCATCAGCTGTTGCTGCAGTTAGTTATTGATACACGTATTTGTACGACATGTCTTCTCTTCTTGTTACACAAGGACCGTTTTAGCACACGGTTAGTAACGAAACGTCACCAGTACTTAAAGGTTCAGCGGTAGTGCTGCCTGGAGCCCCAAGACTCCAGAAATAGATACATATCACCAGCTTCCATAATATTTACATAGATAAACTGGGAAACCGTAACAGACATTTATTTAGATCAGTTATAAAGGTTAGTTTACTGAAATCACCTGAGATTATATATGTTGATGTTCAACATTATCTCACAATAACTGACACAACGGGTCTATCACGATAATATTGATCGATATTTTGTACATGTTACATTTACTTAACATTATTTAGCATTTCAACAAACTGAACTTTCGCGTGATGGGACACGACCTGAAGGGTAAGACGAGGGCGATATTGGTCTTCAAAGTGTACCCACAGAAACCCGACCTAGGATGCAACGAGTGGACCGCCATGATATTCTACAATTCTGTTCAGCAGGAGTTTTAGTCTGGTCCACCAGCTGTTGTTAAAGTTAGTTATTAGATATTAGATACACGTGTACGTGCTCTCAACGACAGGTCTGCATTTATTATTACACCAGGAGGTGAGGTGAAATGGGGTTTAACGTCGCGTCCAAGATTATTGCACTTATATAGCGACGTGCATGTACGTGTGTGTGTTTGTGTGGCTGCTTGTACTAGTCCGGACTGATGCCGATTTATAGTGCTGAGATACCATGCCGCAGTTTAACATGAATACCCCACTCAGACACAGTATACTGACTCCGAGCCGACCAGTCCTTGTGTTAGCCACTTAATGCCGAGCGCCAGACAGGGTAACAACAAGTACAATCTTTTAACGTCTTTTGGTATTACGCGGTCGGGGATCGAACCCCGGACCTTCCGCTGTCCGGGCGGACGCTCTACCACTGGACCACGGAGGCGGTCTTATTACACAAGGAACTTTGGCGAGATGGGGCAGGGCCTGAAGGGTAAAACAAGGGAGATGTGGGTGTTCAAATTACACCCCCAGAAACCCGACCCTCGGCACAACGAGTGGACCACCTTGCTATTCCATATTCCAAATTATCGGACAAAGGAAAGTATATACTTAAAATTGTATTTGATACAAAATTACAAACGTTTTCAAAATATTATTTTGGGTGAAAATAGTGGTAGAAACACAGCAAACTTGAGATTCACACAACTGTGATACCCGTATGAAATACATCACCATCGAATAATCATGTCTTGTTTTTTTCATTTTTAGCCACCATTAAACATGGGTGTGTACCTTCTTTTTCGAACCGTGAAGATCAGGGTAGCAACCCACGCTTGCCTTAAAAGGCGACTATGCTTGTCGTAAGAGGCGGCTAACGGGATCGGGTGGTCAGACTCGCTAACTTGGTTGATGCATGTCACCGATCCCAATTGCGTGTATCGATGCTCATGATGTCAATGACTGGATTGTCTGGTCCAGACTCGATTATTTACAGACCGCCGTCATATAGCTGGAATATTGCGGAGTGCGCCGTTAAACAACAAACCAACCAACCAACAACTGTGTCAGAATGTAAGTATGTAGAATATACAGTGAAATAATGTTAAGAAGCATCATGTTATGAGTTGATATATTAGTTTATAACTGTGATGAACCTCACTTCTAGAAGAGTTTGCTGCAAGGAACCTAACACGTGTGTGTCTCTTGATATCTCTTTTTGCACTTTAAGAGAGAGAGTAACTACGATGCACTTCGCTTGAGGAAGGTACTTTAAGGTGCATATCTTAACATGTTTGTGTCTTATGAGAAATATATATGAATGTTTACATCTTTATCATATATACAATCTTTATCCAAGGAAATAGCCGAACCATTTAATCTATATCAAAGGAACCAAAAGTCTAAAGATTAATATTTTTGGAAAGCACATGCACCAAATTACTTCAAATGTTTTTCTTTTACACACCAGGCAATTCCACGCTGGAATATTCATGACTAGGGACACAGCTAAAACAGGACTTCGCGTAACGCATATCTTCACTCACGAGACGGGACACAACTAAGACAGGGCTAGTCTCTCTTACAGACACCAGAGCATATATTTATTAAAATGTTTTATTCCACTCATACCTCTTTCTCAGTTCTAGCTACCTAAAGCCACTCCCCTTTCAGCTCTAGAGATTCTTTAGATCTGCAGAACTACAGTTGAGAAGATGGGTTGATATTTGTCTGTCGATCTTGTGACTGCCCACTATATGAGACTGTAGGGTTCCTATTTTCACGACTGTTCCCTTACAGAATTATGTGTATTTAACCTATACATCAATTGATTTCGGGGACAAAATGTTAGTCAGGGCTTGCTCTTCGTGTAACGAACAATTCATAAGAAGGGACGCCACTAAGACATAGTGATCCTCGCGTAGCTAACACCTTCATTCATAAGAAGGGACGCCACTAAGACATAGTGATCCTCGCGTAGCTAACACCTTCATTCATACGAAGGGACGCCACGAAGACATAGTGATCCTCGCGTAGCTAACACCTTCATTCATAAGAAGGGACACCACGAAGACATAGTGATCCTCACGTAGCTAACACCTTCATTCATAAGAAGGGACGCCACGAAGACATAGTGATCCTCGCGTAGCTAACATCTTCATTCATAAGAAGGGACACCACGAAGACATAGTGATCCTCGCGTAGCTAACACCTTCATTCATAAGAAGGGACACCACGAAGACATAGTGATCCTCGCGTAGCTAACACCTTCATTCATAAGAAGGGACAGCACTAAGACAAAGTGATCCTCGCGTAGCTAACACCTTCATTCATAAGAAGGGACAGCACTAAGACAAAGTGATCCTCGCGTAGCTAACACCTTCATTCATAAGAAGGGACACCACGAAGACATAGTGATCCTCGCGTAGCTCACACCTTCATTCATAAGAAGGGACACCACGAAGACATAGTGATCCTCGCGTAGCTAACACCTTTATTCATAAGAAGGGACACCACGAAGACATAGTGATCCTCGCGTAGCTAACACCTCATTCACAAGAAGGGACACCACGAAGACATAGTGATCCTCGCGTAGCTAACACCTCATTCACAAGAAGGGACACCACGAAGACATAGTGATCCTCGCGTAGCTAACACCTTTATTCATAAGAAGGGACACCACGAAGACATAGTGATCCTCGCGTAGCTAACACCTCATTCACAAGAAGGGACACCACGAAGACATAGTGATCCTCGCGTAGCTAACACCTCATTCACAAGAAGGGACACCACGAAGACATAGTGATCCTCGCGTAGCTAACACCTCATTCACAAGAAGGGACACCACGAAGACATAGTGATCCTCGCGTAGCTAACACCTCATTCACAAGAAGGGACACCACGAAGACATAGTGATCCTCGCGAAGCTAACACCTTCATTCACAAGAAGGGACACCACGAAGACATAGTGATCCTCGCGTAGCTAACACCTTCATTCACAAGAAGGGACACCACGAAGACATAGTGATCCTCGCGTAGCTAACACCTTCATTCATAAGAAGGGACGCCACTAAGACATAGTGATCCTCGCGTAGCTAACACCTTCATTCATAAGAAGGGACACCACGAAGACATAGTGATCCTCGCGTAGCTAACACCTTCATTCATAAGAAGGGACAGCACTAAGACAAAGTGATCCTCGCGTAGCTAACACCTTCATTCATAAGAAGGGACAGCACTAAGACAAAGTGATCCTCGCGTAGCTAACACCTTCATTCATAAGAAGGGACACCACGAAGACACAGTGATCCTCGCGTAGCTAACACCTTCATTCATAAGAAGGGACACCACGAAGACATAGTGATCCTCGCGTAGCTAACACCTTTATTCATAAGAAGGGACACCACGAAGACATAGTGATCCTCGCGTAGCTAACACCTCATTCACAAGAAGGGACACCACGAAGACACAGTGATCCTCGCGTAGCTAACACCTCATTCACAAGAAGGGACACCACGAAGACATAGTGATCCTCGCGTAGCTAACACCTTTATTCATAAGAAGGGACACCACGAAGACATAGTGATCCTCGCGTAGCTAACACCTCATTCACAAGAAGGGACACCACGAAGACATAGTGATCCTCGCGTAGCTAACACCTCATTCACAAGAAGGGACACCACGAAGACATAGTGATCCTCGCGTAGCTAACACCTCATTCACAAGAAGGGACACCACGAAGACACAGTGATCCTCGCGTAGCTAACACCTTCATTCATAAGAAGGGACAGCACTAAGACACAGTGATCCTCGCGTAGCTAACACCTCATTCACAAGAAGGGACACCACGAAGACATAGTGATCCTCGCGTAGCTAACACCTCATTCACAAGAAGGGACACCACGAAGACATAGTGATCCTCGCGTAGCTAACACCTCATTCACAAGAAGGGACACCACGAAGACATAGTGATCCTCGCGTAGCTAACACCTCATTCAAAAGAAGGGACACCACGAAGACATAGTGATCCTCGCGTAGCTAACACCTCATTAACAAGAAGGGACACCACGAAGACATAGTGATCCTCGCGTAGCTAACACCTCATTCACAAGAAGGGACACCACGAAGACATAGTGATCCTCGCGTAGCTAACACCTTCATTCATAAGAAGGGACACCACGAAGACACAGTGATCCTCGCGTAGCTAACACCTTCATTCATAAGAAGGGACACCACGAAGACATAGTGATCCTCGCGTAGCTAACACCTTCATTCATAAGAAGGGACACCACGAAGACACAGTGATCCTCGCGTAGCTAACACCTTCATTCATAAGAAGGGACACCACGAAGACACAGTGATCCTCGCGTAGCTAACACCTTCATTCATAAGAAGGGACACCACGAAGACATAGTGATCTTCGCGTAGCTAACACCTCATTCACAAGAAGGGACACCACGAAGACACAGTGATCCTCGCGTAGCTAACACCTTCATTCATAAGAAGGGACACCACGAAGACATAGTGATCCTCGCGTAGCTAACACCTCATTCACAAGAAGGGACAGCACTAAGACATAGTGATCCTCGCGTAGCTAACACCTTCATTTATAAGAAGGGACACCACTAAGACATAGTGATCCTCGCGTAGCTAACACCTTCATTCATAAGAAGGGACACCACGAAGACATAGTGATCCTCGCGTAGCTAACACCTTCATTCATAAGAAGGGACACCACGAAGACATAGTGATCCTCGCGTAGCTAACACCTTTATTCATAAGAAGGGACAGCACTAAGACATAGTGATCCTCGCGTAGCTAACACCTTTATTCATAAGAAGGGACACCACGAAGACATAGTGATCCTCGCGTAGCTAACACCTTTATTCATAAGAAGGGACACCACTAAGACACAGTGATCCTCGCGTAGCTAACACCTTCATTCACAAGAAGGGACCCAAGAGACTTCAAGCTCTTCACGTAACGCTTATCTTCACTCATGAGAAGGGACACAGCTCAGGTTTCCTTATCGACGTAAAACACCTGGCGTCGTTAATGTCATCACATTTACTTGATATTTGTTAGAATTTCACTATTCCGTCCCCCCTGCCTCTACAGATAGCGAAACCAGTCGAATTTATGCAGTAGCCGTGGCTCTTTATGTTTGCCCTGAACCCGATAGTACATTAGACACCCGATGACACCTGCTGGGTCACAGGGAGGCAGGTTGGAATGTGATCATGGTAAGTTATGTCAATATTAAATTATAAAGAAGTGTTTCTTGTGTTTGACCGAAGGCGTTTAACGAAAACAGCAATGGGGTGAACAAAACAATCCCATGTACCAGTGTAAGGTTCTTGCAAACATTCTTACACACTGAGATAACATATTTTGATGACCTTTGGTTTGGAGACGATGAGTACGGCTACCGTGTTGCTTGAAACCGCTATGTTTGTGATAAGGAGGAACTTGATCATATGATCCATTCTACAGATTACCAACACTAAAATATTATTGCCCCTCCAGAAATATACAGGTTGAGACAAGTAAGCTGCAGTTCTATCACTTGGGAAAGTCATGGTTATATGGTTATCCCTAGTACCGGAAGCCAATGCTTGTCTAAAGGCAAGGGTGCTGTTCATGTTTTCAGACACGGGCTTGTCTGGTAAAACCAACGAGCATGGCTATTGTCCTGACCAAGCAAGGGTGAATCTGTGATTCCAAAAACGATCATCCTGTAACGACTAAGGGACGCAACTCCGTACAGCCACAAGTGTGTCCCCTTGTCCCCAGAGTTTTGAAGTGAAGTCCTGTCCCAAAAAGATTTTATTTGGTAGAAGAAATATAAGAAAAAAGTGAAGAATATACAAATCCTTGGTGACCAGTAATTCTTTGAGATTTTTTTATGTTAAAATGAACCCAATTTTACTTTACTGTTGGAAAACGGGGATTTATCGAATAGGTTTACGTGACTGTTCACTGTGCATGTAAGAGACTCCTTGGTGTAAAAACCAACACATCTAGGGCAATGGTTACTGAAGAATGTGGTAGATTTCCTCTATTTATGTATTCCCACCTAAAAGTTATAAAGTACAGGCTGAAACTCATTAAAATGAATTCATCGAGATACCCTAAGAAACATTACAATATGATGATGATACGAATGGAAAGAATAACTGGGTAACACCCACTAGTCTATTTAGCAAATACTTAGTGTAAGTGTCTGAGTGGACAGTGAAATTCCCTCGGTCAGTGCACTTCACTAACTATTTCTGTCAGTGAGGAGGCATATTCAAAGGGAGTTTATAGGGACGTATATTTAAATTCGACTTAGTAAAATTAAAATGACTTGGGAACTGTTTTATATACCTTCAACAAATATTATTTTACAATTTCATTTCACATTTTACATCCATGTCCTACATAGGAGGCACAGCTTGCCCACTCTGGAATTCGCTGTCCATTGATGTGTCTCCCCGTACAACATGCATAGCTTGCTTGGGACAATACCCCCGAGGCGGTTAACCGTTTGTGAAACTGGAGATGATCCAACTTCGGGAGATGAACATGCAGCATTGTCCTAAGACAGTTTGGACTTGATATGATCTCAACCTCCACTTGACCAACTTACGTGTCCACTTGATCAATTTAGCCGCCCTGAACACCATGCATAGGCTGCTGAGGACCAATTCTTACCCTATAAACCCGCGTCGGTTTGTCGTTTGTGAAACTCGAGATGCCACTCCAGGAGATGAACATGTAGCATTGTTTTGAGGCATTTTGGATAATGATCCCTACTCCTACTAGAGCAGTCGTTGGTTCTTGAAGCCCATGTGGCATTAACTTCAGAGGTGAGGTGAAATTAGGTTTAACGTCGCGACCAAGATTATTGCACTTATAAAGCGACGTGCATGCACGTGTGTGTGTGGCTGCTTGTACTAGTCCGGGCTGATGTCGATTTATAGTGCTAGCCCACTGAGATACCATGCCGCAGTTAACATGAATACCCCACTCAGACTCCGAGCCGACCAGTCCTTGTTTTATCCCCTTAATGCCGAGCGCCAGACAGGGTAACAACAAGTATCATCTTTGAACTTCTTTTGGTATGACGCGGCCGGGGATCGAACCCCGGACCTTCCGCTCTCCGGGCGGACGCACTACCACTAGACCACCATTAACTTCAGAACTGTAACTTTTAATTTTGCTTCTTTTCATGTATGGGCGGTGGGGTAGCCTAGTGGTTAAAGCATCCGCTCGTCACACTGAAGGCCCGGGTTCGATTCCCAACATGGGTACAATGTGGGAAGCCTATTGCTGGACACCCCTGCCGTGATATTGGTGGAATATTGCTAAAAGCGGCGTAAAACCATACTCGCTCTTTTTATGCATAGGGACGCATCACGTTGTCATTGGTAACTTAAGCACAATAACACATTTGAAACTACATCTAGATTCATACAAGTTGTAAGAAGTAAATGCTCCTCTCACTTTTTTCCTACAATCACTAAAAAATCCTGCCCTGGGACCACCTTACACAACCTCACTGAAAACTCAATCCGATAAAATAACCCGGTGCGTCGAAAGTTCCCTGTAAAATACAAGCAACTGAGTTAGTTTTGAGGCAAATAGCATCACTATGGACTCCGGTGTGTATGGTTCATTAATACAACAATGATATATATAAAAAAACAAAAGGAGAGGAATAACCAGGGAGATACCAACTCATCTAATGTGATGTGGATGGACCGGAAGTACGCATCCTCGATTCTTCAGGGTCTAATGTCTCCCTTCTATCATGATATATTTATTAGCACCATACCCGCGCTCGTGGTTTTTACCGACGTAGTAGACCCACGTCATTTCGAGATTCGCCCCACATCTAGTTTACGTGATATACCTCAAATACTGACATATAATTTTTTTCTTGCTCGTAGATGTAAGCTGATTCGACGGCTATACACGTATTTAGCGACGTGCCCTTCGAATGCGGTTCTTTAACCACAGCTATAGCAGCGAATGAGTCCAGGGTATTTATCATATTAATAAAATGGAGATGTAATACACAAGATAATCGAATATGGTAAATCCGTGACAACATCAGCAACGTCGAAACGTCGAAACTCTCGTATTTATAATTGACATGGCGTCTTATTGCACGACAGCACAAGAGAAAAACATCTGTCAATTTGAAGCCAAGACTTGACGCATTTCAGTCACTTAAGAGGAAAGTATTTCCTTGAAATCTGTAAAGGTCAAGGGTCAAGTGTGTAGTGACCTCGAGTGACTTAAAAGGTGACTTCGACGGGTATTGTAGAACATGTTGACTTGTGTTAATTTTCGTCATATATTCGTGGGTGTAAGTCTCTATGAACTACTCGCTCCCATTTATAGAACCCAGTATATTTTCATGCGAAAGATGTTGCGAAAATGAATGCCTTAAGTCTAATATGTTTTTAGCTTTCTTGGAAGAACATCAAGAGGATTTGGGAGCGGTGTACTGCTATCATTGACTTTATGTTATAAATAAATAAAAGTTAAATATCAAGGACAATTAACACACCTCTACTTCTGCTGCCTTGCAGATAGGCGGGAGTGTGAATACATCCGGGTTCTTGAAGCCTTGGGTTGCATTCGCGTAGGTTGTCGTCCGGAATACGGGAGCTGTAAGACGAAGGTCAAAGTTCAGCCATCGTGAAGCTTAGATGTTCATTTTCTCCCCCAACGTCACATACGTGCGTGTGTGTACGTGCGTCTGAGTCTGCTTGTGCGTGTGGGTTATCATGCGCGGGTAATGAAGCGGTCAGTCACATTAACCACAGATCTACATCCACCTGTTTTTTTAACGAGCTGGGTAGGTGTTATCACAGCCGCGTTAACTTCACGGCCTTTTGCTTCAGTCGTAATGACAACTAAAGGGTCTATTCCGGTGCTAGGAATATATTTTCTTTTGCAGATGAAGTAGTTTAACCTGGGTAATCTCGGACTGGGACTTCATACGTAACTCATTGTGGGACACTTTATTCTTATACCTAAAAAGGCCAACTTTCTGAAAATGGGAACATTTGCTGGTATATTACGGCTGACAGGGGTTGATAGCACGAGCAACGAATCAGGCAAATCTAACATTTGTAAACCTCTTATCCTCACTTTTGCAGGGTGTTACAGTAGTCAGACAGCAAGATTAGAGCTATATCGCGACGAAGACCAGTGGTTGATAGCATGAGACACGTTATGCATGATATAGCGTGATCCTCGCGTTAGTTGGGTCTCACAATAATCATGTTTGATGTTTTTTTGGGTGATTTTTGGTTTTACGCCGCACTAAGCAATATTCCAGCTATATGACGGCGGTCTGTAAATAATCGAGTCTGGACCGGACAATCCAGTGATTGATATCATGCACATCGATCCACGCAACTGGAATACGATGACATGCATCAACCAAGTCTGTCCACCCGGTCCCGTCAGTCGCCTCTTTCGTGAGTGAGTGAATGAGTGAGTGAGTGAGTGTGTTGGGTTTAACATTATTCCAGTTATATCACGGTGTGTGATATAACTTAATGTGGGAGGAAAGCCCGAAGTGATGCAGGTCTCCGACGTTTACCACTTCGGTGAAACCCACGAGCACGGGCATGGTCCTGACAAACCTAGAAACATAATCGGGGCGAACCGGGATTGGAACCCACAATCATAGGTTTCTGTCGTGCCCAAGGGACGCAACTCTGCACAGCGAATCGCGGCGCCTTAGACGACTGGGCAACCCATACCCCCTCGCCTCTTACGGCAAACATGGGTTACAATTTGATATACTGGGAACCATGCTCCCCGGGGATTTCAGCGGAATGTATTTAGAGACTCACCGTTGTTGACAGTTCCAGTCTGCTGCATAGTGACGGGTATTCGTGAGTTAGCGCACACTTGTACGCGGCAGTACAGGTCGCCTACAGCACCCACAAACTCAAGTATGAATAACTGCCCGGTCATACCGGGAAACCCATCCCACGTGACGTCCCAGGTCCAGGAGAAGTTCTCTGAAGAGGAAACCAATGACAACCATGATTTGCAAATGCTGACGTCCACAGGCTATCCCACCGCACCTTGTGACGTCAGTTATATCACGGCGTGTCAGCTTCATGTGTATTCGTCACTACTCGCCCCTTTCCGTAACCTGCAAGAAGACTCCCCCCCCCCCCCCCCTATCGATGAATGCTATGTGCGAAAATACGACAAACCAATCAGAATGCGCGTATGACTTTACATTCTTCGGACAAAGAATCCCTCAGAAATATTTTTTGATTTTACACATGTCTTGCATCTTAACATATACTCTAGATACAGTTAAACGTATTCAATCATACTGTATAATACCGTAAGTCCCGAAGTGTTTTAAATAGCATCTGGCATATATATGACAAAGGGGAAAGAATAAGTGAATCATTACGCAACGAGTTAACAATTCTTTTAACTATGCCCGTTTGCGCTAAGACGGAACCCAGTCGTAGAAATTTCCACTAGAGGGGCACGAGTCGCTATTCGGCTTATCCCGGAATAACACGAGTTGGTCACGAATACTTGATGTGGGGTAAAGCCCGAGGAATGCAGGTCGTTCACGACTTTACGCACAATGACGTCATATCGTCTTGTTCTGAACAAAGTAATATGACGTCATATCTCCTCAACTTTGCAATCAGGTTTGAGAATCGCTAAAATGCAAATGTTCAAATATCGTACATTTCATCTTTCTATACTTATTGGTTATATTAGAAGCAAATACATGCGAAAAACCATATGTTAGATGTACGACTATTCGGCTACCTACGGGGAGACATTGAGATAGATGTACGACTATTCGGCTACCTACGGGGAGACATTGAGGTAGATGTACCACTATTCGGCTACCTACGGGGAGACATTGAGATAGCTGTACCACTATTCGGCTACCTACGGGGGAGACATTGAGATAGATGAACAACTATTCGGCTACCTACGGGGGAGACATTGAGATAGATGTACGACTATTCGGCTACCTACGGGGGAGACATTGAGATAGATGTACCACTATTCGGCTACCTACGGGGGAGACATTGAGATAGATGTACAACTATTCGGCTAACTACGGGGGAGACATTGAGATAGATGTACGACTATTCGGCTACCTACGGGGGAGACATTGAGATAGATGTACGACTATTCGGCTACCTACGGGGGAGACATTGAGATAGATGTACGACTATTCGGCTACCTACGGGGGAGACATGGAGACGGGAAGTCGTGGAGGAGTTGCTGTGCCCGGCACCGTCCCCCGTCCATGATGTAAACTCTTCTCTGAGGAACACAAACACAGGAACACGGGAACATGGCTGACAGAGAGACGTCGCTCCTTGGTCTTTTGGTCATTTTAAATATATCTATGGAAGTGTCCTGAGTCGTTGCTTCTGCATGTATGTCGTTAGGTAAATCAGTAAATGTTATGCCAATATAGATGTCAATAGTAGAGTTTGGAAACTAACAAAATGCTATTTGAACCGCACGAATCAAATTTGTTGGAGCTGCCAATTTGCATAGGTTGCTGGTGACGTATAAACATAATTCTAACAGTAACTGTCACAGGGATTACCATCTGGACCAGCAACCTATGTACTTAGTAGTTGTAGTAGTTTTTGTTTGTGTGTTTGTTTGTTGTTTAACGACAAACACAGCAATATACCAGCTATATGACGGCGGTCTGTAAATAATCGAGTCTGGACCAGACAATCCGGTGATTAACATCATGAGCATCGATCTACGCAATTGGGATCGATGACATGCATCAACCAAGTCAACGAGCCGGACCACCCGATCCTGTTAGTAGCCTCTTATGACAAGCATAGTCGCCTTTTACGGCAAGCGTGGGTTGCTGAAGACCTATAGTAGTAGTAGTGGTTGTAGTAGTAGTAGTAGTAGCAGTAGTAGCAGGAGTAGCAGTAGTAGCAGTAGTAGTAGTAGTAGTAGTAGTAGTAGTAGAAGAAGAAGTAGTAGTAGTAGTAGTTGTAGCAGTAGTAGTAGTAGTAGTAGTAGTAGAAGAAGAAGTAGTAGTAGAAGAAGTATTAGTAGTAGTATTAGTAGTAGTAGTAGAGTAGTAGTAGTGACAGTATTCTGTGTCGAGGCACCTTGTGGTGACAGTTGTATGGTGCTGACTATCACTCACGACCTTCACGAGAGACACATGTCAAGAGTGGGCTTGTCGTGTGTTTATACCGCGCTGGGTGTGTTTAAGTTTAACATGCAGCGCCACCTGCTGATACAGGAACAGGAAGTCCTTCTGGAACAAACTGCCATTCCGTGACCCGGATGTAGAGGCAGCTATTCTGGTGTTGTTGGCATCATAGGAGAACCGGGATGTACTCTGTCAGAAGATAACGTATGCAGTCGTAAGAATATACAGTGAAATAACGGTAAGATGCATCTGTTTTGAGTTATATACATGTATGTACTCTGTCAGAATATAACGTACATGGAATACATGGCGAATAACGAATAAGGTTAAGATGCATAAGTTATGAATTCCACAATGTATGATTATGCTACAACTAATTATTTTTGACAAGACGAAACATCTTCACTCATGACAAGGGACACAGCTAAGACAGGGCTTGCTCTTCAAGTACCTAACACCTTCACTCATGAGAAGGGACACAGCTGACACAAGGCTTGCTCTTCAAGTACCTAACACCTTCACTCATGACAAGGGACACAGCTGACACAAGGCTTGCTCTTCAAGTACCTAACACCTTCACTCATGACAAGGGACACAGCTGACACAAGGCTTGCTCTTCAAGTACCTAACACCTTCACTCATGACAAGGGACACAGCTGACACAAGGCTTGCTCTTCAAGTACCTAACACCTTCACTCATGACAAGGGACACAGCTGACACAAGGCTTGCTCTTCAAGTACCTAACACCTTCACTCATGACAAGGGACACAGCTGACACAAGGCTTGCTCTTCAAGTACCTAACACCTTCACTCATGACAAGGGACACAGCTGACACAAGGCTTGCTCTTCAAGTACCTAACACCTTCACTCATGACAAGGGACACAGCTGACACAAGGCTTGCTCTTCAAGTACCTAACACCTTCACTCATGACAAGGGACACAGCTGACACAAGGCTTGCTCTTCAAGTACCTAACACCTTCACTCATGACAAGGGACACAGCTGACACAAGGCTTGCTCTTCAAGTACCTAACACCTTCACTCATGACAAGGGACACAGCTGACACAAGGCTTGCTCTTCAAGTAACTAACACCTTCATTCATAAGAAGGGACACAGTTAAGACAGCTGCGGGCTTGAGGCTCATGTAACGATGAGAAGGGACTCAGCTAAGATTTTCTTGTCCGTGAAAATCTGGTGTCGTTAATGTGATTACATCTGTTTGTGTTAGAATATGACCATGCCGTTTCCTCTACCATTATGGAGAGCGATAACAGTATTAGCTGTGGCCTCATGCTTGACCTGAACAAGCGTCCATATATTACACTAGTGACCTGCTGACCCCTGCTGGGTCACAGAGAAGAAGACCGGAGTGCGAACATGGGCCATGTGAAGGCTCTATCCCCATGGCCAACATGGAGGTAGACCATACCTTATTACCTTTCTAAGATGCCGAATGTTAAGACTAACCTGGTGTTTTATCAGGGCCGGGTTTAATGAAATCTGTAATTGACTGTGACGTAATTGGAAATCCTCGAACAGGGCTAACTGACGGGCTGTTCCACGTAATTGCCTGCACCCTACGTTAAGACATATTTACGTTTTGAACATTATACTACACCACTGAAATGGGTATTATTTATATAGGTCATATTTCATTATTCGCTCAGTGTGGTTATCCATAATCCAATACAGTAATAAGTAGGATCTTAATGTAAGGTTTTTTTTATGTCAATTTGCTTCAATTTAATCCCGTCGATGAAAAGATATCACAAGTGCATTGTGGGGCCGAGCTAAAACATTGTAAACATAGCCGTAGTTCGGTGTTGCTGGATATTGGGAGTTGAGGAGATTTCTGTTTGTGTCCACCACTAATTTTAGCAGACTGCAGCAACTGCAAGTCATAAAACAGTGTGCTTATTGCACAGTGTTGGTTGCCCTATGAGATACCGTAATTGACGTGAATCGACGTCCTGGGGCGTGATATGGCGTCGCCGTGTGACGATCATGGCGGAGGAAGAGCAACAGGGGACATTTTGTTTGACTGCAGTGTATATCTGAATGCATTATGCTAAGCAACGGTGTACATGCTGTTATAACTGACATAACTCCTTGGGCGTCGGATAACATTGTGTTTCCTGTGGCATGGACACAATAGTTGAATATGGTTGGGGAAACCCCGCGGTATGGGAGATGGTTGACATCATCTTGCTATATTTCCCAGTTAATAATATTAAAATATTCCACAATTTTAAAGAAATTGTTTCACCGATAACTGATGTGGATGCGCCAATTGCGTGGATCGATGCTCATGATGTCGTTCACTGGATTGTGTGGTCCAGACTCGATCATTTACAGACCGCCGTCATATAGCTGGAATATTGCTGAGTGCGGCGTTAAACAACAAACAAACAAACACATGTTGCCCGAGAAATATTGCAGCTTGTGCGATGCTGGAACCAGGCCGTGGCTTGATTGGTTGGCTGGTAAAAGATAGCGACGACACTGCAAAACGGCCATATGTATTCACGGGTGGTGGATGAACGCAGTGTATAAAACCTTGTAGCAGTGACGTTGTTGTTACCCTGCCCTCCACTTATACTCGCTCACAACATAACGCGGATATACATCCATGTCAGTGGCTACACTGTTTGAGGTAACGTCCACGTTGCAACATCTCACCTGGGTCACCGTCAACGTCCCTGCCTCCTCCGTCCCCGTGACGACAGCCTCGATTCCTTCCCACTGGTAGGGGGTACATATATTGTAGATGTCACTGTTGACAACGGCCGTCAATAACGCGAGAACGACCGCGACTCCCAACATAGTTACTGTAATCTTCAACGAGGTTTTGTCTGCTATCTTATCAAGTAATCTGGTCTAAATTGGTGACACTTTGTCTTCTAATCCTTTTTTACAGGGAGGGAGTTGGGTCAACGCCGCTTTTAACAGTATTCCAGTTATATCGCGGCGTGTCAGCTTAATGTGGGAGGAAAGCCCGAAGTGATGCAGGTCTCAGACGTTTACCACTTCGGTGAAACCTGCGAGCACGGGTATGGTGGTGACAAACCTAGAAACATAATCGGGGCGAACCGGGATTCGAACCCACAATCATAGGTTTCTGGCGTTCCCAAGGGACGCAACTCTTCACTGGGAATCGCGGCGCCTTAGACGACTGGGCCACCCATTCCCCCAGTGCACGTTTCAACCACTGTGTAGTAAGCTTTCAAAACGTTTTTTGCTTGGCATGTGGAGGACATTTCCAAATTTGACGCATGTCCGATGAATTCTCTATTTGACCATACCCAATCTTCCCGGGTTTTTTTCAGGTCAACAGTTGACTTGCCTTTGCACGAGTGTCACAAGTGGGCAGGATATGATCATCTTTTCGCGAACACCTATGGTCCTCTCTGTTTGATAGTGATTCATAATAATATGCTCATGACAGTCGCAATCGTACAAACACTGATTTCAGAATGAGATTTCTTATGAATGAACCTGTGGCGGTTACATGTGTTAGTCATCATTGATCAACTGGCCGATCATTGAAAGGTGATTAAAGATGTGTCAAACAGACACTAAGGTAAATTTATAGATTGCTGTAGACAGTCACTGTCAGCCTAGACACGGATCGAGTCGATACTACGATAGTTTGGATGAGCATTTCTTCGTTTGTTCATTAGGATGGGCCGTAGCAAGGACATTCGTGAACAATCATGCTATAAGTTTCTCACTGTATACTGACCAAGATTAAAGGTTCTAAATGATCAGAAAGAAAGAACGCTTATGTATGTTTTCGTGCTAGGGAATTCCCAGGGGTTTCCTCAGGAATGAGGAAGTAGTCCGTTAGTGTTTACGTCATTTCAAGAACACGGTCTCGTGAAAAACGTATGTACGGAAGGGTTGAGTCACAAGCTCCGACGTTCATACAGTTTGGCCCTCACTCTTTGAAGGTTCATACTCCAATGAACTCGCACAAAGTGAAGGTCATTTCTTAAATGGCTTCACGGAAAGAAACCCATCTCTTGGTAGTGTCGTATCGCAGCACAAAGTACAGTTACACACCTACAGGTAAGTCGACTTGAAGATGCAAAGACACAAAGCTCCAGCTTTTGTCCGACGCTGTATTCATGCCACAGATTTTTAGAAACATTATTTTAGAGAAATCTTTTATTTTCACTTCTACAAGCATGGGACATAGTAGCTCTGACGCCGTCAGACAAAGCGCGTTAATGACCTCCACCCGCTTGCAGAGGAAGGACCCCCTAGGGCACGGCGGACTCCCGGGGGAATGTGGCACCCAGGAGGTACACGGGAGTTTTGTAGTTTCCCTGGCAACGAAAAAACATCAAATTTTATCATAACAAATATGTCACCTTCACTGTCTGGAAGAGTCGAGTGGAGTGAGTGAGTGAATCGATGCAGGGTTTGACAAACCTCTTTTGAATATAAAAGGGTATATGTCCGTATAATTGTTTCTGTAGCTATCTGAACTATGACCTTTGTGTCCAGTAAGCATGCTGATACCGAGGTTAGATTTATGAGAAGTTCTATGAAATACCACCTCTGGCTTAGCTGTCTTGCAGGACGGTGGCAGCGTGAAGACATCCGGGTTCTGGATACCACGGGTCGTGTTCACGATTTCAGAGGTTTGGAAAAAAGGGTCTGAAACACAAAAAACATGGCAGTGGGGGGTGAACATATTCCACCCATACGGGGAATCGAACCCGGGTCTTCGGCGTGAGCCGTACTAATATTGTTCTAACATCCATACACTAAATGCATGCTCAACTCTTACATGAAGTATGAATAATTGATTATGGATTTTCCATTCTCCACTCCCTGGGGAGTATAAACCCAAGCAACTCAGGTATTAGAAGGTTAACAGTCACATTACCACCTCATCCTACCAGGTACCCGTTTTACTCGTGGGTGAACAAAGGCATATTTCGAACACAGTCACTATTTAAGGAAGCGACCCTTAGGAGTCAAGCTGCCTAACCCTGTCACCCATCCAACTACTCTACGCAAACGTCATTGCATAACGTCACCTGATTAAAAGTCTGTGTGCTGTGAACAGGTCCACGTGCCACTACCATGTTGGAATGAGAGGTCTAACATGTGGAGTCTACCTCATCAGTTTCATACCTACCGTCGTTGTAGTTGCCAAGGATCTGCTGCAAAGCGGGCGCCCTTATTTCACCAGACATCTGGACGCTGTAGTTCAGGCCGTTGACGTAGCCGCTGTAGCCGAAGATAATCAACTCGTCGTCCAACTTTTCGAAGCCGTACCACGTCCTCCACATAACCCACGTGAAGTTTCCTGCAGTCAAGTTGATGTTCGTATGAAATTGCAACATTGTAACTATTAACGCCCTTCGTTGTGTCACACACTGTCATATTATTGACCTATTTATATATTTGTCGGATTGGGACTAACATTAATTGGTTTCTTACATTTGAGCACTGTCCATTGTATAAATAACAAAGAACTTAAAATGTATAAACTAGTATCGAATATGTTTGACATAATTTGGCAACTAAGTAAGTTCAGAACGTCAACGCCAGAGAATAACAAGTCCCACTTTAGCACCAATGGCAAAACAGTGACTGGATCAGGTGTTCGCGAGAAGGGTATTACTAAGCATTCCGGTAGCACCGCCAGTAGGACACCAGGTGTTCGCGAGAAAGGTAAGCATGTCCGGTAGCACCTCCAGTAGGACACCAGGTGTTCGCGAGAAGGGTATCACTAAGCATTCCGGTAGCACCGCCAGTAGGACACCAGGTGTTCGCGAGAAGGGTAAGCATGTCCGGTAGCACCTCCAGTAGGACACCAGGTGTTCGCGAGAAGGGTAAGCATGGCCGGTAGCACCTCAAGTAGGACATCAGGTGTTCGCGAGAAGGGTAAGCATGGCCGGTAGAACCTCATGTAGGACACCAGGTGTTCGCGAGAAGGGTAAGCATGGCCGGTAGAACCTCCAGTAGGACACCAGGTGTTCCCGAGAAGGGTAAGCATGGCCGGTAGCACCTCCAGTAGGACACCAGTGTGGACAGAATGAAGCAAAGCCTTATTCAGTCCTTGTGTCATTTGTATGTGAGTCTGCTTGCCAACACACGTACACGTATATAGTGTAGAGGAACTAACTAGGTTTTAAACGGCCTTGTAACCAAACGTGTTTGGAAGGCTTGTTAAGCTTTTACGATTTGGCATGACTTACTTGGAAGGCAGTGAGGTGGAAAATCATTGACCAGATTTTCTGCATGGCATTTTCCTTCTTCTATCACAAAAACGGTTTTCTGACAAATAAACATTCAAGAAATAATACATCCATAGTAGTAAAATGCAGGACTTCTGATGATTTATTGTTGTTTCGTGTTGACATTTTGTTAGCTATGCTGAAAAACTATCAAACTTCAAGTTTGAAGAAAAAACGAAATCGCCTCACTGATGCCATTGACAAGAGGAGTGTCGACTGATGTTAGGGGTACCATATTTAAACTGCCAAGCTGTAGTTCCGGACACAATGTCCGCGACAGTGAATTAGAAACCTTTGAAGAGCTGAGTTATGAGAATTGTGTTTGTGAGCCGAGAGACGCCATATTCATCTAACCATCGGAGTCCGTCATCTGCTGATACAGGGACGCCATATTGATATAATCGTAAAGGAGACAAATCGTCACCTGCTGATACAGGAACAGGAAGTCCTTCTGGAACTGATGACCGTCCTGGAACCCGGATGTAGAGGCAGCTATCCTACTGTTGTTGGCGTCAAACGAGAACTGGGTCGTACTCTGTCAGATTATAAGGTGTATATAAACTGTACTTGTGGTTTAATACATAATGTTCTAAGTTGAGTCTTAATATATGTCTGTCACTGAGGATATGTTTTTAACTCAGGAGATAAACACGTCTTGTAAGATTTAAAACGTCCAGACATAGACTACTGACACTCACATATCTGAATTTTTTTTCGGCATTTTAAAATAGAATTTTTTTTTATTATCATAGGTTTAAATTTCCACTCTCTCTCCCTCCTTCCGGGATCCAATTCCAATTAAGAAGACTCTTCAATCAAGCAGATTGTGGCAAATGCTCTCATTCATTTCACAAGTCATTATGACCATAATCATCTCAGATGTCTAAAACGTGGAACTGTCAGTCATCACGTATATATCACATGCCTTGATTATGAGAAACCGCACCATGATCTATGTGATTATTCCACCTTGATCACTAAGAATATAAAGATTTGAAACCCCGATCACAAACTATCATCTTTGGTAATGGTGCATGTGATATGTCGTCGGTTGTGTAATATTTCCAGTGAGATGAATGGGTGAATTCAGGGAAAAGTGAAGATCGGATTTCATGTATGGGTTGCGGAATAGGATTTAAGTTCGATTCGGATCCCAAAAATATTTATCCGCAAATATTTTCTTTCATAATTATACACATGACAGTATTTACACTTAACACTTAAGTAAAGACTGCTGTCATATAGCTGGAATATTGCTGAGTGTGGAGTTAAAAAATAACAAATAAACAAATGCTGGTAACCACATCACCGCCAAAGAAACTATTAATTAAGAGGCTCTTCTTCCGCAAACCTGACTGATTCAAATACTGATCTTAAATATTGCTAAACGACGAGTTGTGGATCCTTATAGAAGCAAGTGTGTATATTCTAGGCAGGAAACTGATCGAAAATCGACTGAGAGAGAGTACTGAGAAATTCAGTGACGTGACTGTCACATTAACACTGCTTGGCGCTTTTGGCTCCTCTATCACTTTGTGTGACGTCATGTCTTACACGTCACAGCGCTTGGACTTCCTGCCTGTAGAGTCGCCGCAGAAAGCTTGAATAATGACAAAAAATATACACAGAATGATTTTATTGCCTCTTGATGAAGTTGTTTCGTGAAATGAAGCTTCGTTTATCTTTCAAAACGTGTTATGGATACATGTCGGGGAGATTTCCAAATTTGACGCATCAGTGACCAATACGATGTCCGATGCTACGGCTTACCTTGACTTGTATGATATGTTCCCGTGTTTGATTGGGTGAAAACTTTACCTGCCTTTGCATGTGTTTGTAATAGGTGCCATCGGTGGGGCAGGGTACGCTTACCTTTCCGTGGACACCTGGTATCACCACTATTCGATAGTGATTCACAAACACATGCTCATGATATAGTCGGAATCGTACAATCGACTCTGCTGTCAGCAGGGTATTCTTATGTTTTGACGGCGGTCTGTAAACAATCGAGTCTGGTCCAGTGATTGACATGATAGGCTTTGGTACACGCAATGACATGCATCAACCAAGTCAGCGAGCCTGACCATCCGGTCGTGCAGAATCATGGCCTAATATATATCAACTACTGGTGGGCCAATCAGCATGCATGTATAGATCTCACATGGCTGGTATAGCACATGTCTTAACATGTTCGGTTTGATATTCTAGCTGATAAGATATCATACAATGATAGGATGTACCTCATTCAGGTTGCTATGGGATATACATATTAACTAGAATGTTGAATGTCATACCTAAAATAGATCGCTGTAGGTCTGTAGCTCACCTGGATCACTGTAGAATAGTTCACCAGAACCTCTGTCGGATAATCTAAACTGGATCACTGTGTAATCTAGTTCACCTGGATCACTGTAGGATATAGCTCACCTGCGTCGCTGTGTAATATAGCTCACCTGGATCATGGTAGGTCTCCCTGCCTCCTCTGTCCCCGTGACAACAAACTGAAGCCCCTCCCACTGCAAGGGTGTGCATACGTCGTAGATGTCACCATTAGCACTGACTGACGGCAGCAACACCAAAATAACAGCTGCCTTAAACATTTCTACTGTTAGCTGTCTGGAACAAAGTATGGCACACTTATCTTATCAAATGTAAGGCACTAGCACTGCCGATAAAGACGTTTGCGCGGACCCCATGTTAAAGTATTCTTTCATTCCGTTCGCAGAGAGAGAGATGCTTCTCGACACCACCGATATTAAAAAACAAATGTCAGATTGTATTTTGAAAAAATGAGAGTAAATTGTGCATTGGAACAAAGACAGTAAAATGTGTATTGGAACAAATGACAGACAATTGTGTCTTGGAATAACTGACATGCAAGTGAGTGTTAGAACAATGTCGAAGAATTGTTTGTTAGACATTGGTGTAACGGTGAGTGCGTGAGCTGTGTTTAACGCCTCTTTTAATAGAATTACAGTTATATCACGGCGCGTCAGCTTAATGTGGGAGGTAAGCCGGAAGAGATGCAGGTGAAACCCACGAGCTGACAAATCTAGAAACATGATCGGGGCGAACCGGGATTTCAACCCACAATCATAGGTTTCTGGCGTGCCCAAGGGACGCAACTCTGCACAGCGAATCGCGGCGCCTTAGACGACTGGGCCACCCGTGCCCCATTGTATAACGGAACATCTGACAGACCGGTGTGTATTCGGAAATCTGGCAGACAATCGAGTATTGGCCTAATATCAAAATAAGAACGAAAATCAGACAATTGTGTATTGTAACGACTAACAGGCTCTTCTGCATCGTGAAACAATTTGCAGACAAATTGCTTTCTTGAACATCTGACATTCGTGAGTTGGACAATAATCAGACACAAATTGTATATTTGAAGAAATGTTGGATGAATGAGCATTATAATGAATAAAAGCAACAAAACCTATAATCATAAGAAGAGTCCAGTGAAGGCCTCCGACTATATCATGTGCATTTGTTTATGAATCACCTCCACATAGTGACACCAGGTATTCGAGAAAAGGTGAGCGTATCCTGCTCCACCGCTGGCACCCGTCATAAATACATGCAAAGGCAAGACAATCGATCACCTGAACGAACAAAGGAACATATGGTACACGTCAAAATAAGGAATTGCATCAGACATCATGTTGGTCAGAGATGCCTCAGATTTGGAAATGGCCTCCACTTGTCACGTTCTGAAAGCGTTATAAGGCCTTGAATGAGTCGTATGACCTCTTTGAACTCGTCATTGAAAGAACATGCTCGTTTGTACCCAAAACCACGCGAAATGTAGACACCAAAAGCTGGAACCTAACCAAGAATTTCGAAAATATTCGATTCTGTTTGGTCATAGATTTCAGATCACAATAATCACCTCTCATTGGTGATTGATGGCCGAATTTTGATATTCATGGAAAATATCTTCTTTCTCAATCGTTGAAATAATCAATATTTAATTTATTTACAATTTACAGTTACAAATTTGCAGTATACACACTATACAAAATATGGTGGGATTGTGCAGTTATGAGTCGAATATACGATAGACATTGCCCTAGAGTGAGTGAGTGAGTTTGGTTTTACGCCGCTTTAAGCAAAATATTCAAGCAATATCACGCCGGGTGACACCAGAAATGGGCTTCACACATTGTACCCATGTCGGGAATCGAACCCGGGTCTTCGGCGTGACGAGCGAACGCTTTAACCACTAGGCTACTCGACCGCCCCCATTTCCTTAGAGAATGTATTTAAGATTTCCAGGACTACAGAGAACTTACAATTTTATTTTTTCTAAATGCTGTCCCATTTGGCCCATGTGACAGTATAATAGTGACGCATATGACATGCCACTAGCTCGCGAAGCGCTCATGATCTTAACCATTAATTTGTGCCCCAAGCATTAAAAAACAATAACTCATTCCAGTACTGTGTGTTATCAACTTCAGTGTATCGTTTAATATTTATTTCTGCAATCATGGAAAATACTCTTTTCCACTTTACAGACAAAGAGCGTTGAGCGACGTCCCCCTGCTGGTAGAGGAAGGACCCACTACGGCACTGCGGACCCCCGGGGGAAAGTGGCACCCAGGAGGTACACGGGGGGGTTGTAGGTTCCCTGGCAACGGAAAAAAAATATATTTACATGAAATAACAATAATGTCATCTTAAAGGTCTGTAGGGTAAGAAACATCAAGAATATGTGACGGAAAGTTGTGAGTGAGTGAGTTCGGGTTGAACGCAGAGGGACACAAGTAATGACCTTCACTGCAGTTGGTGCCGGGTCTTTGGTTTTAGAAGCCTGTAGTGTAATTACTAGCGTTTGTGGCTGAATGTCCGTTTTGCTGTTTCTGTAGCAATGTTAACGAGGACGTACGCTAGTGCCCAGCTATGGAATACTGTGAGGGACATTCTCGCGATCTTGCATTCTTGTGTTTTGAGCATACTTACCTTGTTTCCAAAGGTCGAGATCGCGAGAATGCGAGATCGAGAGAATGTCCCTTACAGTATTCTATACCCAGCAGCACGTCCAAAGATTTATAGGCAAAAACTATGTACTACCTCTAATTAAGCGGTCTTGCAGGACGCTGGCAGCGTGAATACATCCGGGTTCTTGATACCACGGGTCGTGTTCACGATTTCAGAGGTTTGGAAGATTGGGTCTGAAAAACAAAAATTTATGGCATTGGTTAGGCGATGCACTGAATTCCTGCTGTCATGTTTATAATGTTGTTGTTTAACGCCGCACTCGGCAATATTCCGGCTACATGACGGCGGTCTGTAAATAATAGAGTCTGGACCAGACAATCCAGAGATTGACATCATTAGCATCGATCTATGCAGTTGGGATACGATGACACGCCCCAGTCCGTTGAGCACGTAATGATATGCAGAAAGAAAACGGTACCAAAACTGTACAAGCAAACAAAGACTATGTCGTGAATTCCCCAAAGACGAGTGACAGTTTTTCACCGCAGTCATAATCATAACGGCCTAATAAACATCGACCTGGGGCCAAGTAAACCATAGGTTGATAGCATGACAGTCTACGCCATCGGTTACCACGACGCAGAACCAACTGATCAGGGTTATTCTGCCCCGGAATTGCTGCGAGGGTCGACCGGAAAGTATTAAATGGATAACCCATTTCATCAGGTCAACATCTATTCTCTGAAATGAACATTTTTACAGAAAAAAACAAGTTGTTTAATTATCTATAAAAAGATATAATAAAAAAGGAGCCAAGAGACTTTCTTCATTTTCAGAACCTGAAACAAGTAATTAGACTCGCCAAATGGTATAGACTTGCAGGGGCTGTATTGGATAAACATGTAATTGTTTCAGGGTCTGTATGACCGTGTACCTATTTCATCAGTTTAATACTCACGGTCGTTGTAGTTGCCAAGGATCTGCTGTGAGGCGGGCGTTACAAATTCTATAAACAACTGCACGTGGTAGTTCAGGTCGTCCACGTGGCCGGCGTAGCCGTAGAGAAGCAGCTCATCGTCCTTCGTTTCGAAGCCGTACCACGTCCTCGCAAACATACACGTGAAGTTGCCTGTAGCCAAGACCACGTTCGGATGAAATTGTAATACCAACTTCGCTCATCGTTGTTTCATAGTGTCATGTATACATTTAAATACGTTATATGTTTTATATATTATAAATAAATCTAACATTTGGAATGGTCTAAAAGCGATCACATGACAAATGCGTTTGTGGCTCCAGCTAGGGTTGAACATTTGATATTGACTTAAGCAACTAAGAACGATATACGCATCCCAGAACATGGTTGTTCCAACTTCACAGAGTGACGTGACGTGACGTGACGTGACGTGAAGTGACATAAAGGAAAATGAAGTGACGTGAAGAGGCATGAACGTTGTAAAAGGTCGCAGTCAGGGGGCACGGGTGGCCCAGTCGTCTAAGGCGCCGCGATTCGCTGTGCAGTGTTGCGTCCCTTGGGCACGCCAGAAACCTATGATTGTGGGTTCGAATCCCGGTTCGTCTCGATAATGTTTCTAGGTTTGTCAGCACCATACCCGTGCTCGTGGGTTTCACCGAAGTGGTAAACGTCTGAGACCTGCATCACTTCGGGCTTTCCTCCCACATTAAGCTGCCACGCCGTGATATAAGTGGAATAATGTTAAAAGCGGCGTTAGACCCAACTCACTCACTAAAGGTCGCAGTCAGCTATATTATATTCCAGCAAAATTACGGTGGCTTCCAATTAACGTGGAAATAATGAACAAGACGAACCATGCCTTCAATTACACAAAATCAGACAAAGTCACGAAGCCTGACCACCCAATCCCATATATAGCCCGGTCTTACGACAATCACGTGGTATTAGACATGTAATCCCACCCCACAGGATTTATAGTGTATAGCCGAAGTGCAAACATTGTCACACAAGATCACATACACGGTTTGATAAATTTGAATAAGCTCTAACATCTGACTAAATAAAACAACATAATAGATAATGAAAATTGACATTAATTGATAACTCTATGAAAGGCCTGCGTTTGTGTGTTTGAGAGGCCTTCATAATTTATGTACCGCATGGCATGACTTACTTGGGAGGCAGTGAGGTGGAAAATCATTGACCAGATTTTCTGCATGACATTTTCCTTCTTCTATCACAAAAACGGTTTTCTGACAAATAAACACCCAAAAATAAAACATAAAATATCTCTGCAGTATTTTAGTGAACGATGTCTGACAGATGAAGCTTCATTGCTATTGTTTCATGTTGGCCAATGTTAGCTGCACTGAAAAACTATGGAACCGCAAGTTTAACAGGAATATCGACTGATATTATGACTACATGTAAATGCCAAGCTGTCGATACTGCCAGTATGTCCGTAACGCTCAATCAACAAAGAGCCCGATGTAGAAGTGACCCCTGAAGATCCGAGTTAGAATAGGACTTCAGCTTGTCGAAAGAGGCACCTAACGGGATCGGGTTGTCAGGCTCGCTGATGCATGTAATCGTATCACAAAGGTGAATCGATGCTAATGATGTCAATCACTTGATTGTCTGGTCCAGCTTTATAGACCGCCGTCATCTGGATGGAATATTGCTGAGTGCGGCGTTAAACAACAAACAAACAAAAGAATCAAATAGAAGTGAATTATGAAAACATATGAAGGCCACCGTGCTTATCAGTTGATGGACGCCATCTTCATCTAACTATCTAAATCCTCACCTGCTGATACAGGGACGCCATCTTCATCTAACTATCTAAATCCTCACCTGCTGATACAGGGACGCCATCTTCATCTAACTATCTAAATCCTCACCTGCTGATACAGGGACGCCATCTTCATCTAACTATCTAAATCCTCGCCTGCTGATACAGGGACGCCATCTTCATCTAACTATCTAAATCCTCACCTGCTGATACAGGGACGCCATCTTCATCTAACTATCTAAATCCTCACCTGCTGATACAGGGACGCCATCTTCATCTAACTATCTAAATCCTCACCTGCTGATACAGGGACGCCATCTTCATCTAACTATCTAAATCCTCACCTGCTGATACAGGGACGCCATCTTCATCTAACTATCTAAATCCTCGCCTGCTGATACAGGGACGCCATCTTCATCTAACTATCTAAATCCTCACCTGCTGATACAGGGACGCCATCTTCATCTAACTATCTAAATCCTCACCTGCTGATACAGGGACGCCATCTTCATCTAACTATCTAAATCCTCACCTGCTGATACAGGGACGCCATCTTCATCTAACTATCTAAATCCTCACCTGCTGATACAGGGACGCCATCTTCATCTAACTATCTAAATCCTCACCTGCTGATACAGGGACGCCATCTTCATCTAACTATCTAAATCCTCACCTGCTGATACAGGGACGCCATCTTCATCTAACTATCTAAATCCTCACCTGCTGATACAGGGACGCCATCTTCATCTAACTATCTAAATCCTCACCTGCTGATACAGGGACGCCATCTTCATCTAACTATCTAAATCCTCACCTGCTGATACAGGGACGCCATATTTATCTAACCATCTAAGTCCGTCACCTACTGATATAGGGACGCCATATTTATCTAACCATCTAAGTCCGTCACCGGCTGATACAGTGACGGCATATTAATCTAACCATCTAAATCCATCACCTGCTGATATAGGGACGCCATATTCATCTAACCATCTAGATCCGTTACCTGCTGATACAGGGACGCCATATTCATTTAACCGTGAATGGGACAAGACCGTCACCTGCTGATACAGGAACAGGAAGTCCTTCTGGAACTGAAGACCGTCCTGGAACCCGGATGTAGAGGCAGCTATCCTACTATTGTTGGCGTCAAACGAGAACTTGGTCGTACTCTGTCAGATTATAACTATTAGTATATACAGTAAACTTGTGTTTAGATGTATAAGTGAGCTGACACATGTATATCTAAGACACAACGATGAACTGCTATGTTGTTCCAGATCACATGTAATACACTGAAAGGCAAATGAAACATCATGTGGATGTATCATATAAATATCTTTATTTTCAAATGCTTATATATGTAAGTAAAGACATCTGAGAAACTCAGTGTTTGACTTCACATGAAATTAACGGTCTGGGGAATGTTTTTGCGAATTGTGAATTTTGGGAGGCACCAGAAGACATCACAGCTTGGGGGGGGGGGGGGGGGGGGGGGGGGGATCAAAATCAGTACCTGGTGTGGCCACCACGGGCGTTGACTACAGCCACACATCTCCTGTACATGGAGTGAACTAGCCTGTTGATGAAGGCCATTTGGGATATGGGCCCATATCCTCAGGAACGCTACAAGCAGTTCTGCTGCAATTATCGGCCTTGGGCGTACGTCGTTGAGTAGGCGTTGGATCTCATCCCACAAGTGTTCAATGGGATTCAAATCCGGACTGAGGGCAGGCAAAGGCATGAATTGGATGTTGTGCTGCTGGAGGAAGTCCCTGGTAACTCTGGCAGTGTGGGTACGGGCGTTGTCTTGCTGAAAGGTGTGGTTTTGATGACGGGCAAAAAAAAGCACGATATGGGGTCTGAGGACTTGGTCAATGTAGCGGAGAGCTGTGATGCAATTACCCCTGCCAGGACCAATATTCTGAAAGACCAGGTCCCCCTCCCTGGTTCAGTCAGATTCCACCCCAAACCATGATGCTTGGGCCGCGGGTCTCGTTCCATAACACAAGCATCAGCATAACGTTCGCCCCTTCTTCGCCAGACCCTGACTCTGCCATCCACCGTTGAAACAGTAGCGACTTTCATCAGTGAAGATGATTCTTCTCCATTGCTGTTGACGCCAATTTTGATGCTGCCTGGCCCATTGCAGTCGGGCCTGTCGGTGACGATCTCTCAGGATCGGTACACGAGCAGGACGGTGGCACGAGATGTTGTTGGCAGTTAGGCGACGTCGGACTGTACGATCACTGATGGCACGCTGGTGGTTGCCAATGGTTTGCAGAGCTGTTTCAGTGGCCATTCGGAATCGGTTCTGCAGATCTTGAAGTATCATGAACCGATCTTGTCTGGAAGTAGTGACTCTTGGACGACCACTACGCGGTCGGTCGTCGGTGGTGTTGGTGGTATTGTGGCGATGTTGCAAACGATATATCGTTCTGACGTTGACATTGAATGCATTTGCAACGACCTGTGCACTCTGGCCTGCTTGCAGTCTTCCGATCGCTTGTTGTCTCTCATTTCATGATAATCTTGGCATGGCTGATGAATCGAAATAACGAAAGCCAGCTTAACAGTTCTGGGTGTCTTTTATACCCATACCATCCACGATATGCACGTGCATCATGTTTTTGACAAGTTCTGTAGGCTGCGTTTGGGCAAAGCACTCTATTTTAAACTCAGTTGTTAAATGGACTTTAAGGCAACAAAAAGAAGCAGTAGGACGTTAAAAGCCTTTATTGACCACAGAACATGTAACTGCCAGTGTCTGTTAAGGTTTTATCAGTATTTTCAGAAGTGACGTTTCTTTTGCCTTTCAGTGTATTTCTGAATGTGGATACCAGTCACCAGTGGAACTGGACACACTGCATTCATGCCTTGTACCACCGTATTCAGATATTAACACGCCAGCCGGTCTAGCATTGTAGCATATATCTCACCAGGATCAGTGTAGGATATATCATGGATCAATGTAAGATATAGTTCACAGGGATCCCTGTAGGATATATCTCACCTGGATCACTGTGGGATATATCTCACCGGGGTCAATGTAGGGTATAGTTCACCTGGACCAATGTAGAATATATATCATGGATCAATTGAGGATATAGTTCACCTGGATCAGTGGAGGATATAGTTCACCTGGATCAGTGTAGGATATTTCTCACCGGGATCAGTGTAGGATATATCATGGATCATTGTAGGATATATCTCACCGGGATCAGTGTAGGATATATCATGGATCAATGTAGGATATAGTTCACCGGGATCATTGTAGGATATATCATGGATCAATGTAGGATATAGTTCACCGGGATCAATGTAGGATATATCATGGATCAATGTAGGATATAGTTCATCGGAATCAGTGTAGAATATTTCATGGATCAATGTAGGATATAGTTCACCGGGATCAGTGTACGATATATCATGGATCAGTGTAGGATATAGTTCACCGGGATCAATGTAGGATATAGTTCACCGGGATCAATGTAAGATATATCATGGATCAGTGTAGGATATAGTTCACCGGGATCAATGTAGGATATAGTTCACCGGGATCAATGTAGGATATATCATGGATCAGTGTAGGATATAGTTCACCGGGATCTATGTAGGATATATCATGGATCAATGTAGGATATAGTTCATCGGGATCAATGTAGGATATAGTTCACCGGGATCAATGTACGATTTATCATGGATCAATGTAAGATATAGTTCACCGTTCAATATAGGATATATCATGGATCAATGTAGGATATAGTTCACCGGGATCAATGTAGGATATAGTTCACCGGGATCAATGTAGGATATATCATGGATCAATGTAGGATATATCATGGATCAATGTAGGATATAGTTCACCTGGATCATGGTAGGTCTCCCTGCCTCCTCTGTCCCCGTGACAACAAACTGAACTCCCTCCCACTGCAAGGGGCCACATATCTGGTAGATGTCACCATTAGCACTGAGCGACAGCAACACCAAAATAACAGCCGTCTTTAACATTTCTATTGTTAGCTGTCTGGAAGCCATTGTTATCTTATCAAGTAATGTCGCTATCACCACGGTATAAACGGGTTGTTTAGGGTTTTCTTTGATTGTGTGATCGCACGTGCATCTCCCAACAATTACCAGAGCGTCGTAGGTAAAGAACATAGACAGACAATTGTGTATTGGAACAAATAACAGACATCTGTTTATTTGAAAATATGGCAGACAGTTGTGTATTGAAACAAAAGACAATTGTGTTATAGAAAATCGTATAGACAATCGCTTGTTGATAAAATGTCAAGCACTGATAATTAAAACAATCGACAGACAACTGTGTATTAGAACATATTCAGAATATTTGTATTGTAACAACTGATGGACAGTTGTTCATTTGGTGTGAGTGAGTTGGGTTTAACGCCGCTTTTAACAGTATTCCAGTCATATCACGGTGTGTCAGCTTAATGTGGGAGGAAAGCCCGAATTAATGCAGATCTCAGGCGTTTACCACTTCGATGAAACCCACGAGTACGGTTATGGTGGTGACAAACCTAGAAACATAATCGGGGATAACCGGGATTCGAACCCACAATCATAGGTTTCTGGCGTGTCCAAGGGACGCAACTCTGCACAGCGAATCGCGACGCCTTAGACGACTGGGCCACCCGTGCCCTCCTGTTCATTTGGAAAAGTGACAGACAAATGAGTATTAATACAATTGACAGCAAGTGTGAGTTGTAACACGTGAGTGACAGTTGTGTATTGGAGCAAATGTAAGATGAATTTGGAAATATTCTGATTGGTCATACAAGTGATATGCCGTGTAAAACTTTGTAAGGAATGCTTAATTTTCCACATGTTTTCCGGCGAGTTTGTTCATGGACAGCACGCGCGTGTGTTTGTGTGCCTGTGTGGTGTGTATGCGCGTGTGGTGTGTGTGTGTGTATCTGTGTGTATGTTTGTGTGTGTGTATCTATGTGTATGTTTGTGTGCGTGTGTGAAAGTGCGTGTCTGTGTGTGAGTGTGTGTATGTGTATGCATATGTGTGTGTGTGTATCTGTGTTTATGTTTGTGTGTGTGAAAGTGCGTGTCTGTGTGTGAGTATGTGTATGCATATGTGTGTGTGTATGTTTGTGTGTGTGAAAGTGCGTGTCTGTGTGTGAGTGTGTGAGTGAGTGTGTGAGTGTGTGAGTGTGTGAGTGTGTGTGTGTGTTGTGTATTCGCAACACATGTTTTGGGCAAACTATTCCAATTTCCGGTCCCATTAGGGTTGGACTTGGAGTTACACCAAATTACATACCTCTTGCTCACGAAGTGCTCATATTATCAACCACTAGCCAGATGCTTCAAGCTCGATTATGTACAAGTAATCACAATGTAGCTTAGATAATACCAACAGTTCATGAAAACAACATGAACTCATTACAAATAAACTGTATCATTTATTATTATTTCTACAATCATTAAAAAAGATGTTTCCTCTTTGCAGACAAAGCACATTGAGCGTTACCCCCAGCTTGCAGAGGAAGGACCCCCTACGGTACAGCGGGCCCTCGGGGGAACGTGGCACCCAGAAGGTACACGGGGGTTTTGTAGGTTCCCTGGCAACGAAAAAACACCAGATTTACATAAAATAACACTCATGTAATCTAAATGGGAGGGTAAGACTTTTAAATGTGAACAGAAATGTTCCATCGGGGATATCTGAAATTGTCTTCACACACTGTGTAATCGAGGGCAATGGAGACAGGGTGTTCAGTGTTACGAACCTGTGGCTGAAGGCCAGGAGGTATATTTGCCAAATTTTCCTTCTTGGAACAAGGACGAGTAGAGATGTTAGCTATCCTGCCAAAACAATGTTGTGACAATTTGCGCATTAATACCAAGATTTGGCATCTGAAACATAGTTGTACATTTACCTGTGGCTTAGCGGTCTTGCAGGACGATGGCGGAGTGAATACATCCGGGTTCTTGATGCCACGGGTCGTGTTAACGATTTCAGAGGTTTGGAAGACAGTTTCTGAATCACAAAACAGAGATTTAAAAGTAGAACTCAGCAATATTCCAGTTGTATGATAGCGTATGTCATTTGATACCTCTGATTGACCAATCAGAATCGAGTATCAAATGCACGGTCGAATGAGTGAATGAAGCGCCCCCTTGGTGTAAGAATATACATCGAAGCGTCGTTTGTGCAATATACCAAACTTTTTTTTATATCAATAAAGTTGCACGTTTTCTAGAACAAACATATAAATATATACAGGTTGGGTAGGACATTGTTACCCTTTACGCGAACAGCTGGTGTCATCACTGACTTTCAGTGATCCATTCATATACAGTAAACTACGGTTATAACGAACTCAAAGGGACTACTAATTTTAGTTCGTTATAACCGTAGTTCGTTATAAGCATATATACAGCATAACTACAGCAAATAGTCGGGACCAAAAAGTAAGTTCGTTATATCCGTCAGTTCGTTATAAGTGTGTTCGTTTTAACCGTAGTCTACTGTAATTATTACCGCCATTTTACCTTCTACTCCCAATGGAATCTGTTACGGCGGATAATCGAGACAGGTGATTCTCTGTCGTTTACGTTTTATATTTACCATACTATGACGGATTCACTATTTCTACGTGTACCGTGGTTTAGCTTCGACTCGATAAAACAGAAAGATCGTGCATTATTATCATATACCTCATCAGGTTACAAACAGGCTTACCGTTGTTGTAGGTGCCGAAGATCTGCTGCGAAGCTGGCGTCAAAAATTCGAGAAACAACTGCACGTGGTAGTTCAAGTCGTTCACGTGGCCGTCGTAGCCGAAAAGCCACAACTGATCGCCCATCTTTGGGAAGCCGTACCACGTCCTCCACCACGTCCAGTTGAAGTTACCTATGGTAGAGGACGCCGTTCAGAATGCGTCACAATTCCAACCAATAAACCTTTCATTGTAACATTCAGTGTCAAGTTTTCTAGATGTTGATCCTTTATGGTTGTTTGTTTATATGTGAAATACATAAATATTTGCTACATTGCTGTAGAATAAGTAATCTTTATCCTTTTGCGAAATTTTTATATTTAGATTGTTCTTGAAGCGGTTACACCTCATCATATTGCAGGGTTTACTCATGGGATTTTCTGACATGGGCCCTTTATATGAAAATTTCAAATATTCCAGAGGTACGCCCATACAACAGAATGTTAAAATGCCCCATTGTATTTAAAAATGTGGGCCTTTTTCAAATTTCGGGGCTAACGGACAAGGCCCCACCCTAGAAACGTGAGTGAGAGAGGGAAAACGTGTTGTCCAGACTTACTTGGAAGGCAGTGTGGTGGAAAATCATTGACCAAATATTCTGCATGGCATCTTTCTTCTTCTATCACATAAACAGTTTTCTGCCAATTGAAAAGTATTTTCATAATTTATGTTTAAAGTAAATATTAATACTTGCTGACGAGAATGGAATGATTTTAAAAGTATGTGATATGCCTATTTATAACGTCAATGTAAATCATATCTCGTGTCATCTATAAGTAACTAAATACGCCTGCTGTTAATGAAATCAGAAAATGAAATAAGTGAGTTGTATCATCTAACAACAACATCGACTGACGTTATTGTCACCATCCTGGCGCTGCCAACTATTTAGTTGCTGCCAGAGTGACTGAAACACTATTCTACCCTAGAACCTATGAAGAACTGAGTTATGAGAATTATCCTATGGCCACCATACTTATGAGCTGTTCGACGCCATATTGAAGGAGACAAGTCCGTCACCTGCTGATACAGGAACAGGAAGTCCTTCTGGAACTGATGACCGTCCTGGAACCCGGATGTAGAGGCAGCTATCCTACTGTTGTTGGCGTCAAACGAGAACTGGATCGTATTCTGTTCAGGACAAAAGCAATGGTTGTCGATTGATGAATAATTTAGTTTCCACTCCCGTATTAAACACATACATGAAGTTGGGCATTGATGCTGCTTATCCTGGAATAATGCTAGCGGGCACCTTGCACCACTGTATTCAGACAGGGCCCACCCTTGTGGTATATACATTGTATTTCATCAATATGTTGGCACTTTTAGTCACTTAGCTTGTCTCCCTTTGGCAGTTACTCCCATAACAATCAGACGGCACCCACGCATTAGATGATCACATAGTTGATGGTTGACAACGGGCGCGAGATATGCAAGCATAAATACAAAATGTCCTTTACAGCAGGATATAGTCAGTGAGCCTACCTGGACTGACGTGGGCTGTATCGACGTGGCTGAAATATCTAACCTGCAATGACGTAGATTGAAATATCTCGCCTATATCACAGATGGCTGAAGTTTCTCATCTGTGGTGCTGAAGGCTGAAATATCCCACCTAGATTAACGGAGGTTGAACTATCTCAATGCGGGCTAAACTATATCCCATGGATTGATGTGGGCTATGATATATCCCATGGATTGATGCGGGCTATGATATATCCCATGGATTGATGTAGGCTAAAATATCTCCCATGGATTGATGCGGGCTATGATATATCCCATGGATTGATGTAGGCTGAAATATATCCCATGGATTGATGTAGGCTGAAATATATACCATGGATTGATGTGGACTGAAATACCTCATATGGATTGATGTAGGCTGAAATACCTCCCATGGATTGATGTGGGCTGAAATATCTCCCTTCGATTGATGTGGGCTGAAATATCTCCGAAGGATTGATGTGGGCTGAAATATCTCCCATGGATTGATGTGGGCTAGAATACCTCATATGGATTGATGTGGGCTGAAATATCTCATATTGATTGATGTGGACTGAAATTTCTCCCATGGATTGATGTGGGCTGAAATATATCCCATGGATTGATGTAGGCTGAAATATATACCATGGATTGATGTGGACTGAAATACCTCATATGGATTGATGTAGGCTGAAATACCTCCCATGGATTGATTTGGGCTGAAATATCTCCCTTCGATTGATGTGGGCTGAAATATCTCCCATGGATTGATGTGGGCTGAAATATCTCCCATGGATTGATGTGGGCTAGAATACCTCATATGGATTGATGTGGGCTGAAATATCTCATATTGATTGATGTGGACTGAAATTTCTCCCATGGATTGATGTGGGCTGAAATATATCCCATGGTTTGATGTTGGCTGAAATATATCCCATGGATTGATGTAGTCTGAAATATCTCCCATGGATTGATGTAGGCTGATATTTCTCTCCTGGATTGATGAAGACTGATGTATCTCTACTGGATCACTGCAGTATATGTCTCACTCGTGTGACTGTAGGATATAGCTCGACCGGATCGGTGTAGGATGTACCTCACCTGGATAACAAGAGCCTATAGCTCGCCTGAAGAACTGATTCCTGTATCCTAGATTACTGGGGAACAAAGCTCTCCTGAATCTCTGTAGGATATATCTCATCTGTATCATTGTAGGATATATCTCACCTGGTCACTGAAACATATAGTTCACCTGGATCACTGTAGCTTATAGCTCACCTGTAACACTGTAGGATATATCTCACCAGGATCAATGTAGGGTTAAGCTCACCTGAATAACTGTATGTCATAGCTAGCCTCTATCAGTGAAGGTTATAGTTCACCTGGACCACAGGGGATATAGCTCACCTGGGTAACTGAAAGATAAGCTCACCTGCATCAGTGTAAGATTATCTAAACTGGATCACCGTGTGATATAGGTCACATGGATCAATGTAGGATATAGCTCACCTGGATCGTAGTAGGTCTTCCTGCCTCCTCTGTCCCCGTGACAACAAACTGAAGCCCCTCCCACTGGAATGGTGTGCATATGTCGTAGATGTCACCATTAACACTGAACGACAGCAACACCAAAATAACAGCTGCCTTAAACATTTCCACTTTTGACGATTTGGAACAATGAATGTCACTGTTATCTTATCAAGAAACAAACACTATCACTGCCGAACATCTATCTTTATACAGAGAAAAATACATAGCGACTGTTAAACGAGCATCTGTGTTGCTGACTTTACGAAACGAGTGCCAGAATTCTTGCATTTCCCGATCGAGAGGGTAATACATGAAATCTTACACGAATTTCGTTAAATCAGAATGACACACATGCGAGTGTAATAATTTCTTTGTTACCAATTATTTTTTTATCCTTTTGAGCTCCACTTTAATAGGGTGCACTGAGTCCGACCGCAATATTAGAAAACCGCAATTGTTGAATGGTGTCACCGGTCTTCAGCTCTAACGTCGTCTCTAGTGTGACGTCATTCCGACCTTACGTCACAACAATATTCGAATAACGCCAACAATGACCGTCTGGACGATGTAAACAATACCCTAGCGCGTAAAGTGATATTTGTACTTGTGCACACGCGATTTTTATTAACTCTGTTATTTATAACCCTGTGGGTAATAAATATATTTTTCATATAATCGGTAGGTTTCTCTGCAGGATATAGCCAAACGATAACAAAAGAAATCCGTTGGGGTCATATGCGGATAGAGATGCAAATATCAAAGGTCAAGTTGAGACTACTTTCAGTTTTTATAAACAAACATGGCGTCGCCCTTGTCATTCGGCGATCGTGTCAGAATGAACCATCGGGAATCTGGAGAAACTACTGGGATCATTGCTATCATTATCAAAAGAACAGTCTAATATACTGAAAATCAGTGTCTTACTGTGGCGTAGCTAAGGCATTTTACAAGTTTTGGAGATATGAATTGTGAAACAATTTTGCGAGAACACAAGCCAAGCGGGATCAGTTTCCATATCTGTGCTTCTAGACCTCTGCGGCTTGGAACCTTTTCCACAAATTAAAACAGTTGGATTTGGCCGAAAAATGTCCGATTGGTTACCTTGTTTCGTTTTGTCGCAGTGTGTACATCTGACTGCACTTCGTGACGTTATAACAGGACCGGCCGACTGTCAACGACGTCTGACTGGCCGTGACGTCTTATAGACTAGTAGGGTAAGAGTAGCTTTCCCTTGATAAAGGACAGTTACTCTAGATGGATTGCCGCGAAAGTCAAGTACAAACAATTTGTGTAGGCAGTTCTTGTTTTGCATATATGTAGTTACGCCACTGTTAAGAAACGGGTTTCAGTTGGAACTATATTGACTACTGTCACTGTTCGACTGACATATCACTTACCTTCTGACATAATATATATTAATGTGCACATTATAGTAAAACTTGTAATGTTAAGGTAATATTTGTGGGAGCTGGGAAGAGATTTTCGAGCACGGAATTAAAGAATGACATTATATGATAAAGAGGTTATCACGCATATGTGTTTGAGGATGGTAAATATCCTGTATTAGAAATAACCACTATGTATTAGGCTCGCCAATGCTCACTAAATACAATGTTTATTCCTAACACAGGATATTTACCATCCCCATACACACTCGCGTGATAACCTTTAAATACGATCATAGTAGTATGGAGTAGCACGGGTGGCCCTGTCTTCTAAGGCGCCGCCATTCGCTATGAGGATTGCGTCCCTTGGGCACGCCAAAACCTATGTTTCTGGGTTCGAATCCAGGTTCGCCCCGATATGTTTCTAGGTTTGTCAGCACCATACCCGTGCTCGTGGGTTTCATCTAAGTGGTAAAAGTCTAAAATCAGCAACACGTCGGGCTCTCCTCCCTAATTCAGCAGCCCGGGTCCTGGGAATAGGGTACTATTGCGTACTATACGCGCTAAAACAATAAAAAACAACAAATACAAGTATTCAGCCATGATAGAATAATATGCGTTTCCGATTGGTTTATTCCTAATATTGAGTAGCAGTAGATTTACCTTGTGATATTAGGACTCGTCCACCTTGGGCGGCACTGCCCAGGTCGTAATGAGACAGAAAGGTCATCATACCTGGCCAGTCTGCGCAGATCGTGGTTTGGAGAAGGTCAGAGGTGAACAATGGACCCCGTGTAGTGCGCAACGTCACTGACGCACGTACATATTGTGGTATGCATATGTATAGTGCTACTTACCTCCGCACTGTCTCACCCTGCAATGTCGGAGTACATGTGCACCCAAATGTTAGCTGAGAACAAAGACGCTTATTGCATAAGGAGTTTCGGTTTAATGAACAAACTAAAACACTTTGCATATATGAAAACGTGTGTGATGGCCGCATGGATGGAGGCTTGTTGGAGACGCTTGCTTCCCGCTAACATTGTGACGGTCGACGTCAGAATGCATCACGCATCCAGTGAGGTGGATAACATAACGATCCATCACACTTAAGCAAATATAAGATGTTCATACACTTTACGAGTTGTATTCACGATATGTTGCTTTCCAAGAAAATGGTAATATGATGAAAGAATTACTCGCGTTACGTCACGTGACGTTACCTCACCTCGATCGCTCATTCAACTCACTCACTCACTCACTCACCTACTCACCACCTCGATCGCCCATTCACCTCACTCACTCACTCACTATTTCACTCACGCACTCACTCACTCAGGGTGTGAAAGCTCCAATATTGATGTATGGTTCTGAAATATGGGGTATCAAATAATATGACACAATTGAAAAGATACAAACATGCTAATTTAAACGTTTTCTTGGTGTGGATACATTTGCAGCAAACAAAGCTATTCTGGGTAAAACTGGATGTCATTGTTTGTTTATAAACACAAATAAGGGTAATTAAGTACTGGATTAAGCTTTGCGAATGAATGCAAGTCGATACCCCTTCCAAAGTTGTGTAATGCTTAAAGTATTAGATGAGAACGGAAAAGTCAATTGGGCATCGTATGTGAGACAAATGTTATTTATTAGCGGTTTAGCGTATGTGTCGTTATTCCAAGATGTTGGTGATAAGAACATGTTTTTATTTGCATTTAGAGTGAGTGAGCATGGTTTTACGCCGCTTTTAGCATTATTCCAGCAATATCACGGCGGGGATCACCAGAAATGGGCTTCACACATTGTACCCATGTCGGGAATCGAACCCGGGTTTTCGGCGTGACGAGCGAACGCTTTAACCACCAGGCTACCCGACCGCCCTCTGCATTTCGAAGACGCTTAAGCTATATACATTTCTAATCATAGTACCACAGTATAGAGTCGTCTACACTTTTAGTGCATTATGCGAATATAAAATCTCTTCTGCAACCCGAATTATACATAACAGTACTCAGAGACAAACGATTAGTTAGAGCAATGTGTAAAATTCGAATATCTCTTCGCAACTTTCGAGTCAACATTATTCGGAAAAGGTCATTGTTAAATAATCTCATGCAGAATATATATGTAATACCATGTCTTTTTTGCATTTAAGAAATATATTCACTTAAGAAATACTTTTTTTTACCTCATTACAGAAATATTATAAAGGTAATATTACGTTTGCAAATTTATTTTAATCATGTGATATTAATGTACTACGCTTGATAGTTTTATATTTATGTAATTACTTTAAAATGAGATTGACAAAGATGTAACACTCTGGACATGTGACCTAAAATGTTATTTATCTTACAACTGTACTACTAGGCCGTGTGGCCTGAATTACGAAATAAACTTGATTGATTGAAGGTGTGAAAGCAGTGTGTTTATGACTGGCATCCATGTCCGGCCATATTGTGATCTGAAACAACACAGCTATTCATCACGAAGCAACTCACATCCATGCATCATGTCTCATCTCTGCCTCTAAACGCTATTTCACTGTATATACTAATAGTTACAGTCTGACAGAGTGCGACCCAGTTCTCCATTGACGCCAACAACAGTAGGATAGCTGCCGCGACATCCGGGTTCCAGGGCGGTCATCAGTTCCAGGAGGACTTCTATATCCTGTATCATGATTATATCAATATGGCGTCCTTCTGCTCTTAACTCCGTTGTCTTAAGATGTTTTCACTATTCAGTTCTACATAGAGTTCTATGTTAATTCAGTGCCACGGACGTTCTGACTGTAAGTGGAGTTTGGCCGTTTCAGTAATGTGGCCGTAACATCAGCCGATACTCTTAGATGTCATTGGTATCAATGAGACGATTTTGGTTTTAATAGTTTTAATAGTTCGATAGTTTTTCAGTAAAGCTAACAATAACCAACATGAAACAATAGTACTGGAAGCCTTACCTTTCAGAAGTTGTTCATTTTAATACTACAGATGTGTTATGGTCAACACAGCGATCAGGGGGCACGGGTGGCCCAGTCGTCTAAGGCGCCGCGATTCGCTGTGCAGAGTTGCGTCCCTTGGGCATGCCAGAAACCTATGATTGTGGGTTCGAATCCCGGTTCGCCCCATTTATGTTTCTAGGTTTGTCAGCACCATACCCGTGCTCGTGGGTTTCACCGAAGAGGTAAACGTCTGAGACCTGCATCACTTCGGGCTTTCCTCCCACATTAAGCTGACACGCCGTGATATAAGTGGAATACTGTTAAAAGCGGCGTAAAACCCAACTCACTCACTTACTTAACACAGCGATCAAACGGCTGCGAGTGTCGTAAGTATATATGATAAACTACTGTCTGGTTTGTTTACATACCTCCGTCGTATGGAAGCAGAATTCTGTGCGACGTCGGCAACAAACACACACTTACTTTTTATGCAAATTGTGTGTGTTGTTGGTTGTTGTTTAACGCCGCACTCAGCAATATTCCAGCTATATGACAGCAGTCTGTAAATAACCGAATCTAAACCAGACAATCCAGTTATTGACATCATCAGCATCGATCTAAGTAATTGGGATACAATGACATGCATCATCCAAGACAGCCAGCCTGACCAACCGATCCCGTTTGTCGCCTCTTACGACAAGCATAGTCACCTTTTACGACAAGCAGAGCAAATTGTGAGTGGCGGGTGCTGCCGGTGGAGCGGGATATGCTTACCCTTTTCGCGAACACCTGGTGTCATCTCCGAAATTCCGTGATCCATCTATACAATTTTC